GAAGCTATCACGTGCGAGACGGTCAACATCCTCGTGCATATCCACCCTGAAGCTAAAAATGGGATCAGTTAGGGATAACTCGAAACCGTGAGCACACAACAAAGACGACACAAAATCTAGGGTTTCGCTAGAAGTAGAATTACCTCGAGGCACGTAGTCTGAATACAATAAGGTTTAATACAAAAAATTTTTCTTTAAAATTCAAACCTACAAATATTGAATTTAAAATAAGTACTCTGTATTTGCTCCATTTCGCTTTTGAAGGATGGAATTATAATTTTTGTATATTCATTATAAATCTAAGACATTTTCTTTCAGACTTGTTCGTAAGGTCAAGGGTTGGGTTGGGTTCATTTCTAAGAGTCGAAATGAAGTTATTTTTATACGTGTCTTCGGAGGGGTTTCAGATTCATTTATTATCATTTATTATTAAAGAGGGATCGTTCAGCATGAAGATGTTATACTCACAATCAGTGTTGCAAAAATAATAACAAATATGGAATATGGGCGTGAAGCGAATAATGATTTTTTGATTTATTTTCGTGAATGAAATTAAGTTTAAAGATGTTCAACTAAAAATGTTGAGATTGGAAGTGACGATATCGGAGTTAATAAATGGAGATATCCAGAACGACCTTGATTATTATTTGGAAAGATATTGAGAGGACCAATTTTGATGTCATATTTGTCACGAAGAATCGGAAACGATATTTAGATTAGCAGAATCGATGTTTTCACGGATGATGTTAAAAGATATCAAGGTTAATATTTAGTAGTGGTAGAACGGATATCCGGAATACGGCCTATCCGGGCATTCTTTTAAATCCGGCCGGATACCGGATAGTTACCAAATATCCGGCTATGGCCGGATATTAAAAATCTATTCTTAGTACTCCCCCACCATTCACAGGACTTTATTTATATCAGGTGTATCATTAGCAACCTCATTGTAACAATCCCACATTCATTACTAACAGAACTGTCGCACAGTGGTCTACATTCGAAAAAACCCGAACAAAAATATTTTAACGCAGTTTGGGTTGAGATAATTTTTTGAAACTTGGTATGTGGCTATAGGACTATATGCTAAAGACTTTGTGAACTTTTGGATCAAATATGGCAACCGGAAGTACTAATTTACTTGAGGTCACATTCCATTTTTTTCATATAATTTAGGTCCTTAGAATTGGATAAATACAAAATTTTATACAACGCTATTAAATCGTAAAGGATAGCTAAATACAAAATTGTTTAAACTAAATTGGTTATATAGTTTACTTCGATGTAAGGTTGTTCATTCGGAACTTTCAATCTAAAATATTTTCAAGATGGCTGCCACTTCCGGTCTACCGGAAGTAGACCATAACTTCGTTATTTTAAATAGAATGCTATAGTTTTTATTACGCCATTTAATTGTACGTAAAAAAATAGGTTAACTTTGATAAAAGTTATTTGTACCTAGCGTTTTTCGTTTTCGAGTTATTTTGGTTCTAAACTTTTTTTGGTAAATTTCAGCATGCTGTTTAAAACCCCATATCTCAGCCAACGTTCATTCAAAAAAGGTCTAAATTGGTACGATTATTCTTCAGATGCTGTCAAATAGATTGTCACTTGTTGTATCGGAGTATCTTATACAGGTGGTCAAAAATTGAATTATTGTTTCTCCATTTTCAATGGCGAGAAAGTAGAAAATTTTAGATGGAACGCACCATGCTTTTTTAGCCTATCAGAAAGAGAATTTAATTCTCTATAAATTATCTAGGTTGCTTAACAATGTGTGTTTCTCCTTGTTCTGTTTCAGACCATTCTTCGTCATCTTCATCTTCGTTGTATCCTGCCTTATATAGCTCTTGTTCTAATTCTTGTTCTTCGTCATATTCATCTTCTTCTTCGCGATCTTTTTCTTCTTCCTGGTCTTCTACATTGTCTATTATAAGTAATCTTTTAATCTCCATACTCATCTTTTTATGTTTTCTAGAAATGTGCGGTTGAAAATTACTTATAAATGGATCTGAGCTGAGTAGCAGTCTTTTAAATAGATCTTCATTCGTATCCAGTCTACTACATTTCCTTGTGTGGCTCTCTCTAAATTTTCAGATTTTTTTGTTATTAGCTTCTTGCGCTTCTTCCGACAACTCTCCAATAGGTACTAGAGGTTCTTTAATGACTGCAGATCCATGTATCAAAATTTTATGAACGCTGGTTGGCATATAGTACCAACCATAAAATGGACGTACTTTTCGGCAGTTTTGAAACAGTATTTATCAAATTCATTGCAATTAATATTGTACCCACTGTTTAATGAAATCTCTGATGATAATTTAGTAAAAGTACGTATGAACCAGTCACCTTCCAAGCTCTAATTTTTAATCTATATGAAATGTGCAGCAGACACACAAAAACCCCAATGTATGCATGGAGAACAGACAAATCAAACTTAAAACCTTGTAGCTCTACCGTTCATCAACTAACACTAGAAACTTTCGGGTTTTGCCGTGCGTCTTCTAAGAAAAGGTTTGACGTTTCGGATACCATCTTGCAACCTTCTTCAGAAACACTTCGAACCAGTTTAGTTAGTTAAGAGTTAGTACTAGTTTTAGTACTAGTTTTAGTTCAATTAACTCTGGCCGTGAAAACCTTCGTACTTATAAAAAAAGTAGATATTTCAAGTGTTCCAGTTTTTTGCCGCGCTGTATCTAACAACCACTTCCGGTTGTTAGATATGCCTGAAACTTTAAGTCTAGTATTCTATTATTGTTATGCGGGTTTACACCAAATATACGAGATTTATCTTTTAAGAAAAAGAATATAAGCATTTTATATGAAAACAGTCAAATAACACACTCAGGCACTGATCATCTTTGATCGCTAATATCTTGGTAAGGAGCAAGTTAAAGCAAGATGTGGTTATCATGTTATATAGAGCACATCTCAAAGAATAAGAATATTCTTTACTTTCTTCTCCAAGAGTCTTGAATAACGACGTCTTCATCACATTAATGTCGAAAGCATCCAAATTCTTGACAATAATATCATAAAAGTAGAAGTATATAGATAGAGAATTCTAGTATATGGAATTTAACATGAAAAAATTGATTAATTACCATCATCNTTGAAAAAGTGGAACACAATATATTTTCTTCATCTAAAGTTGTAGCATTTTATGATATTTAATACACAAGAATTGTAGTACTGTTTTATTGCGTACAGTTAGCACTAGAAAGTACATAAGACTTTATTCCTTTCACCTCTCAGTCTATTAGGACCTAAAGTACATGTAACATGTATGTTAAAAAAAACGAAAAAAAAAATTTCGAAAATTTGATTTTCTTTCACATTTTACCGCTACATTCGAGTTGCTTCGTTAAATCAGCATCAAAAAGGTTCATTTCGTATCTTAAATCCAAATAAGTTGACATATCTTATCAGCTTTCTTATTAATTTCATTTTTATTCAAATATCGCAATAATGTAGCAATGTAGAGTATCACTTCAGAAATACACCAGAAATTATAATCATAATGGCTGGATAGATATGCCGAATATCTATCCCCTTCGGCCGGATATCCGGTATCCGGTTTTTCGCAAAATCACTATCCGTTCCATCACTAGTATAGACATATGGCATCCATATGGCAGTGGGGTTCTGTCATTAACAGCAATTTAGAAGTAATCCAATGATACCAAAATAAAGTGTTAGCCATTAGCAAATTTATGGTCAAGAGAAAATAAAACTTTTAATGTACTTTAACTGGTTAAAAAAATGTTACTAATTTTACTAGTTTCGCCTTATAGGCATCTTCTCCAAGAGTCTTGAATAACGACGTCTTCATCACATTAATGTCGAAAGCATCCAAATTCTTGACAATAATATCATAAAAGTAGAAGTATATATATAGAGAATTCTAGTATATGGAATTTAACATGAAAAAATTGATTAATTACCTCCATCAATTCTTATATTATTTAATGAAACGTCAAAATTTAAAGAAAGTTTCTCAGGAGATAAAATTGGAAATACGCAATAAAAATAATAACGTAAAGTTCGATATAAAGTTTGTTTACAATTCAAAGCTACGTCCGTTCGAACAAATATAATGATGTATTTCTGAAAAAGATTTCTTTTTGTGACAAGATCAAAGTGGAGTATCTGGAAACCACCCACGACAAATTCTTTTTTTCTAATCATCCGTACGACTTCTACTGCTTTTTAAAAGAGATGAAAAGGTTTCTACGAAATCTGAATCTTCCGCGAAAGCTGTATTATTAATAACACAATTTAATTAAAAAAAATTGTTTATAAAGGATGTTAAATTTAATTGAAATGGTTTTGTTATAGGTGCATTTTAAACGAGTTTATTTCAAAAGGGGTTGTTTACAACCTATATAATAAAAGTTGGGAAAATTTCGTTGAAAGCCGACAGTAAATGCCACTTTTTTTTAATGGAAATAAAAACTAATTTAAACTTGTAGTAAAATCAATTTTCCACGAATTTATTTATTTATTCAACGTTTTGTAAAGAAATTATATTACAAATATAAAATAAAAATATTTATTTCCCCTATGTAACTAATGTAATCTTTATAAATAACACTTCAAGACACTTCCATTAAAAGTAAGTTCGTAATTTTCTCGCATATTCTTCTCTATTACTTTAAGAAACACAAACAAGATAAATTCAAGTAAAGCATTAGTGTTTCTCTGACGATGTGATGCATCGTCTTGAGACATTAATTTTCGGTGCGAGTTAAACAACGTTGATTTATACATCTGGTAGGTAGTTATGACTTCTGGATAGTAGTAAATGTGAACTCTCTCGGTACGCGCTACGATGTGAGCCGGAAAATTATGACCTTCATGTCTAGGAAAGCTTTGCAGCGTACTGCGAGCTTTTGAGCTCTCGAGATATCTTTGCAAGATCAACTCCATCTTAGTGACTAGACGATTATGGTTTGAGTCTTACTAAAAAGGAGATTGATGATGGTTTATTTTTGTTACAGGCGATATCCGATTTGCTGCTGGGAGTTTTCTGTATGCCATTTACGCTTTTGGGACAAGTTTTGAGGAATTTCATTTTTGGTGCTGCGATGTGCAAATTAATTCCATATTTTCAAGGTAAAGTAAAAATAAGTTTTTGTGTATACAAATTAAGTATGAATACAATATAAAAAGTTCATTAAAAGAGCTTTTTTTCGCTTTCACTTCTGTGTACAATTTCTGGGAAGTTTGTGTACTTTTCATTTTATTTTGAATCATTTGAATTAAATTTTCATACTTATTTATTGATTAAATTAAATATTTTACATTTTGCATCGATAAAAATATAGAAACGTATCTCGTTAAGTTTGCTTTTAATTATAAATCTGATCCTATCACCTCAACGAGCGTGATAATCGCAACAAAGTTTAAACAGATGGTTAGGGAATATCGCGTATATTCATTCCAGAAAGTTGATTAAATTAATAATAACGTCAGCTGGTATGGATTTTGAAGCGTTGAAACGACGACAACGCCAAGTTCAAGTAGCCAGAGTATTCTAATTTCAACTCCCACACATACGTGTAATTAGTCTTCTTGTTTCGTGAGATATATTTTCGAAGATGAAAGCTAAAACTTTTCGAAATTCTGAAGGATTTGTACGCAATATCATGTACAACGGGGAAAATTAATTAGGTAATCAACGGGGACGTGGACTGACTTCCTAATTTCAATGTAAGCACTTACACAGCCACGTCACCAAACCTTTACAGCTAAAATACCATTTTCACTTTACGCTGAAATCGCAGATTTCGTATCATTATTGCCGCTGATACGAGCGTGTTTAACCTCAAAGAGAAAACGATCCTTTTTTTGTCGGCGCGAATAAAAGATTTATGACACTTCAAAAAAAATTTTTTTTCAACGATATCGAAAAGGGAAAACTACCCAACTATACAATTCGGTTTTCTTTACGAGAAACATCCCCTTTGGAGTGATATGTCTTTTTCCACTTCACCAGGTTTTTCCCTTGATATCATCTCGAGTTTGAACGAATCGAACAAAATAAACAGAATGTAGTAGACGGTGATCTATATTATTTAGACTCCCATCTACGTTTTCAAAAGGAAACTCGTCTAGATGATGTAACTTTATTACTCAATTCGACATCCAGACTTTTACGATTATTTCGTTTTGCCTATAAATAGATTCGAGTATAAATAATTAAAAGTATTTATTGATTGTTATGTTGAATTACATTCTTGTTTCTCATTCACAGACTTAATTGAAATGTTTAACAGACTCTCTTTAACTAAATTTGGCAAAATTAAGGTGTATTGTTATTTGAATTGTTTCAATATAAGTTAACTTGGTTAAAAGATTCGAGCTTATTCCATTACCAAATATGAAGCAAAATCCAACTTCGTCGATAAATTAAATTTAAACTTACTAAAAACTCATTAAAGACAACTTTAGGATTTTTTTGCAATTTTTAACGAAAAGGTGCCGATTTTACAAGAAATGCTATATTTATTGATAAAAAGCCTACATAAAAATGGTGGTAAAATAGAGAACTTTAGATACATCGAAAAACGGCTATGTACTTTCTTAGAGTAAGATGACACAAACTTAAAATTAAAAAAAAGTTTTAAAACCCGTTGAAAAATGTGGGAGTTATCATGCGCACAGGATGAAAAAATTTAGTTTTCAGAAAAGACGTTTTCACAAAAGAAACGGAGCATGATACAAAAAAACTTTTGGAACAAGAGTTATAGCAAATTTTATTCTCAACAATATTATGTTCTTGGAATGTTGCTCTTAGATAAGAAAAATATGAAAATTGGATGAATTTGTTGCTTTTTCAAGATGTTAATGGTAACACTCTGGAAACGGAGCATATTACAAACTAACTTTTAGAACAAAAGTTGTAGCAAATTTTATTCTTAACAATATTGCTCTCTTGCACTGTTGCTCTTAGATGCGTCAATATCAAGACAAATACGAAAATATGAAAATTGGTTGTTTTTCTTGCTTTTTCTAGTTACTAATGGTAGCACTTGGGAAACGGAGCATGTTATAAAAAAACTATTGGAACAATAATTATAGCAAATTTTATTCTAAACAATATTGTTCTGTTGCACTGTTGCTCTCAGATGCGTCAATATCAAGATAAATATGAAAATTGGATGAATTTGTTGCTTTTTCAAGTTATTAATGGTAACACTCTGGAAACGGTAATTGCTAATCTTATTGTTAGCAATATTGCTCTCTTGCACTGTTGGTCTTAAATGCGTCAATATCAAGAGAAATACGAAAATATGAAAATTGGTTGAGTTTGTTGCTTTTGCTAATTGCTAATGGTAGCACTTGGGAAACGGAGCATGTTATAAAACAATTTTTGGAACAATAATTATAGCAAATTTTATTTTAAACAATATTGTTCTCTTGCACTGTTGCCCTTAGATGCGTCAATATCATGAAAAATACGAAAATATGAGAATTGGAGGAATTTTTTACTTTTTCTAGTTACTAATGGTAGCACTTGGGAAACGAAGCATGTTATAAAAAAACTTTTGGAACAATAATTATAACAAATTTTATTCTAAACAATATTGTTCTCTTGCACTGTTGCTCTTAGATGCGTCAATATCAAGAGAAATACGAAAATACGGAAATTGGTTCAATTTGTTGCTTTTTGATAATTGCTAATGGTTGCACTTGGAAAACGGAGTATGTTATAAAAAAACCTTTGGAACAATAGTTATAGCAAATTTTATTTTAAACAATATTGTTCTCTTGCACTGTTATCCTTAGATGCGCCAATATCAAGAAAATTACGAAAATATGAGAATTGGATGAATTTGTTACTTTTTCTAGTTACTAATGTAGCACTTGGGAAACGGAGCATGTTATAAAAAAACTTTTGGAACAATAATTATAGCAAATTTTATTCTGAACAATATTGTTCTCCTGCATTGTTGCTCTTAGATGCCTCAATATCAAGAAAAATACGAAAATATGAAAATTGGATGAATTTGTTACTTTTTCTAGTTACTAATGTAGCACTTGGGAAACGGAGCATGTTATAAAAAAACTTTTGGAACAATAATTATAGCAAATTTTATTCTGAACAATATTGTTCTCCTGCATTGTTGCTCTTAGATGCCTCAATATCAAGAGAAATACGAAAATATGAAAATTGGTTGAATTTATTGCTTTTTCTAGTTGCTAATGGTAGCACTTGGGAAATGGAGCATGTTATAAAAAAACTTTTGCAACAATAATTATAGCAAATTTTATTCTAAACAATATTGTTCTCTTGCACTGTTGCTCTTAGATGCGTCAATACCAAGAAAAATACGAAAATATAAAAATTGGATGAATTTGTTACTTTTTCAAGTTGTTAATGGTAACACTCGGGAAATGGAGCATATTACAAAATAACTTTTGGAACGAAAGTTGTAGCTAATCTTATTTTTAGCAATATTGCTCTCTTTCACTTTTGTTCTGCGATGCGTCAATATTGAGAAAAATATGAAAATTTTATGGATTTATCGCTTTTTCAAGTTGTTAATGGTAACACTCAGGAAATGGAGCGTATTACAAGAAAACTGTTGGACGAAATTTGTACTTAGTTGAAGTTATTAAAAAAGTGATAATATCCCAAACAACATGAATCAAAACGTTATAAGAAGACACAGCCATGTAATGATTTATAAATAGACATAACACCTTAGTTTCATAAATAATAACTTTTCTAAAGGCAATTTCAATTCAACATACTTTTTAAATACCTTTAATACCAATTGCGTTATTTATGTATGAAACAAATTTGCTTAAGACGATTGTAGTCTTGGTTCTCATTAAACTTTGCCCCCCACAGACTTAATTAAGAATAAGATGCGACTCTCTTTGCTTAACTGAATTAACTACTAGACAAACTGGAGTACGAACTTTATTACCAAGCTTACCTATCAACATTATGCATGAATTTGGAACAAAGGTAAATTTAAATTACAATCTTAAAAAAGGTTTCTTAATATTCAAGAGTAATTTTAACGAAATCGTTCTGATTTAATTTAATTTTTACGATTCAATTAATTTTCCGACGCCTCCACCATTTTTATGCGAAAATTTTATATGAAATTTCCTTCTTAATTTATTTAAATATTAACTAATTTAATATTTGCCTTTGTCAAACAACAAACATGACTATCCTATTAACTAGATTAAGTGTAAACTGGCGAACATAATTGACTATTGCCATTGGATGTCGGTCGATGATCTCACGATTCCACAGAAATCGATGAGTTAAAAGCCATCTCGGCCACCGTTTATAATCCTTCATGGTATCGCTGCAACCTCGGTCCAGAAACCAATAAAAACGAGACGCCAATGGCTTATCGAAAGGTTATTTATTGCGTATTGTTTTACGACGCAACCGTTTTTCTTTTCTTTTTTATTTTGTTTTGATAAATAATCTTAAATACTATTTAGCAATTTAAATTGTAGTATTATTTTGTATTATAAAATCTCCAAGGTACTAAGATTAATCGGTTTAGATAACGGCGAGGACCACCTGGGGTAATAATAATAATTTATTGCTCGAAGTCTTCGAACGTAGTACTGGAATACTTCAAATTTGTCCATATTTCAAAAGCGGCCTATATTCTGAAGGCCGGAGGCTTCGACGGTTCAATACGGGAAAGTGTTCCTCCTCTATTAACAGAAGTAACAAATGGGGGGGTATGCAAATTAGTTACCCGGAGAGTTTCGGGTAAAATCGATGGGAGAATAACGAGATAAACTGGTGATAATCGTTAACGAATCAGAAAGTTATTGTTTTTATTCGCCACACATCTTGTTATAAAATGCTTTCCATCTTCCTTTATCCTTATAAAACCACGAGGTGGAAGATTATTAAATTGATAGCAATTGAGAACAGCTTCCTCAGCACATTTCTAATTGCTAGCGATCGAGTTTATTAACGAAAGCTGAGAAAGACTGTACCATATTTTATTTCTTTCAAATAAAAGGAACCGAGAAAAATCTCATTTAGACCTGGGTGGTAATTAAGAGTACACGAAAAGATAAAAATTGTTAGTGTTAACTTTTGCTTTACCAGAAACAGGAAAAGAATTTTTTCTTTTATTACAGTCGTGTCAGTTTCCGTGGCCGTATGGACTTTAGTGGCTATTTCCTTGGAAAGGTACTTCGCCATCTGTAGACCCTTGAAGTCGAGAAGGTGGCAGACCCAGTTTCACGCTTACAAAATGATTGTGATGGTTTGGTTGGCAAGCTTAGTGTGGAGTTCACCGGTTTTGGTTGTTTCTTCATTAAAGGCTACAAAGGAACGACGTAAGTAATTTTTGGGTCAATTTTTTAATAAGATATTTATTCGATTCTTGAGGTGATAATAAAAAAAGTTGAATGTCAATCTCTTTTACGGTGATAAATGTTTTTTACATGAAAATAACACTAAATTTTTTTACAAGCTCGCTTATTCTTTACGACCCATTCCTCTGTATTACGACCTACCAAAATAAGAAGAGAATTAAAATTTTTATTTTATAAAAAGGATCCTCCAGGTGAAAACAGTAAACACCTTGAATACGAAATGTTGTGTGTCATAACTTTATATAATACACATCTCGTAATGGCTTCATCAGGAAGCTTATTTATATCCACCTGTTATAAAGTTTATATTGAAAAATAACGACTTGTTAATAAAATTTTAAGTCTTTTTTCCAATTTCTAAATTATTAAATAATAGAGGAATTATTCGTAGAAAAAATGTATTATTAAAGAAGAAATCTTTTTTATTATAACTATTTCATTCCATTTCTTATAGTTTTTGAGATATCACCAATTACAATAGACAATTAAAGTTTGAAATAGTGAGGTTATGTTGTTGTATAGCAATAAATATTGACAATAGGGAAAAACTTTTTAATAATAAAATAGTCCTTATTTAATAAGAAATCTTTTTTGTTATAACTATTTCATTCCATTTCTTATAGTTTTGAGTTATCACCAATTACAATAGACAATTAAAGATTGGAATAGTGAGGTTATGTTGTTGTATAGCAATAAATATTAATGATAGAGAAAAACTTTTTAATAATAAAATAGTCCTTATTTAATAAGAAATCTTTTTTATTAAAGTCATTTTTCTCTAATTAAATGAATTCTTGAGTTATTTATTTTTAAAAAATGATATGCTCGATTTTATCAATAAATATAAAAAAATTAAAAAAACTTTCTTATTATAAAAGATGAATCATTTAATAAGAAATCTTTTTTGTTATAACTATTTCATTCCATTTCTTATAGTTTTTGAGTTATCACCAATTATAATCGACAATTAAGGTTTGGAATAGTGAGGTTAGATTGTTGTATAGCAATAAATATTGATGATATAGAAAAACTTTTTAATAATAAAATAGTCCTTATTTAATAAGAAATCTTTTTTATTAAAATCATTTTTCTCTAATTAAATAAATTTTTGAGTTAGTTATTTTTAAAAAATGATATGCTCGATTTTATCAATAAATACAAAAAATTAAAAAAAAACTTCCTTATTATAAAAGATGAATCATTTAATAAGAAATCTTTTTTGTTATAACTATTTTATTCCATTTCTTATAGTTTTTGAGTTATCACCCATTATAATTGACAATTAAGGTTTTGAATAGTGAGGTTATGTTGTAGTATAGCAATAAATATTGATGATAGAGAAAAACTTTTTAATAATAAAATGATCCTTATGTAATAAGAAATCTTTTTTGTTATAACTATTTCATTCCATTTCTTATAGTTTTTGAGATATCATCAATTACAATAGATAATTTAAGTTTGAAATAGTGAGGTTATGTTGTTGTATAGCAATAAATAATATTAATGATAGAGAAAAACTTTTTAATAATAAAATAATCCTTACATAAAAAGAAATCTTTTTTATTAAAATCATTTTTTCCTAAATGATTTGAGTTAGAAGTTATAATAACTCTTATTAAGAAATCTAGACAAAAACAAAAAAATGTTTGTTTTTATGAATAAATTTAAAAAATAGAAAAATACTTTCTGATTATAAAAGATGAATCATTTAATAAGAAACCTTTTTTATTCTAACTATTTAATTCCATTTCTTATAGTTTTTGAGTTATCACAAATTAAAGTCGACAATTAATGTTGGGAATAGTGAGGTTATGCAGTGATAATGAGCAGTAAATATTAATGATAGAGAAAAACTTTTTAATAATAAAATGATCCTTATATAATAAGAAATATTTTTTATTAAAATCATAAGTTGTATTAAGAAATCTAGAAAAATTCAATTAAGATCCAAAAACGCAGCTAAAGTGATGCTTTTCACAGAGTAATTCACTTCATAATTGTTAGAAATGTAAAGAAAAGAAGAATTAAAAGAAATTTCCATTTAAAAATAAAAAATACTCATTTAGATTTTAAGTTTGTAACAGAAATTGTATTTGACAGAAAGTTGTGATTTAGCGTCGACGGCAATTGACCAAACAATCGGTAAAATAAATGTCAGCAGCAGGAGCGAAATGAAGATTAAACGTTTCCAGTTTTGTGGCAAAGGGGATCCTTAGGAAACTATAAAAAACGATACTAGCTCTAGAAAAAAGAAACTTCATTAAACCGCTTCTTTTGAACCCACGAAATTTGTTAATTTAATTAATAATGAATAAGGTTTTTTCGACCGAATCCCAATAAAATATAACAAAACCCACTTTTATGGAGACATAAAATGGTAAATGGAAATTTATTGTTATTACCATGTGTGTATAAATCCCTTATTGGCAATTTTAATCTTGATGTAATTTTTTCCAGTGAAGTGAACTCCACAAAGAGATGCTTTTCATTTTTTATTCTCCCATACTTTTAAAATACCACTAATTGTATTAGTAGTAATTATTGTCGTTTAATTATAGAACTAATTATAAAACTAATTATATGACTAATTACAAAACGTGCAAACTCTATCAAGTACGTACCATCAAATTATTTAATCATTAAGCTTCGATTAATTGTATTTTCATTGCGATCGATGCACCTGGGAATATAGTTCAACACAAAGTTGAATTGAGATATAGTTGATCCAAGTTTCGTGCATGCCTGAGTAGGTATTAAAGGTTTGTAGTTTACATTTGTGCACATAACATAACCACGAACCTAAATCAATGAATTAGCTAGTGTCGCGTATCAAGTACGTGGTAATTTGAAATGAAGATTGAATTTGGATCCATAAAAATATTTTTTTTATTGATATATCTTTTTATAAATGTAATTTCGTTCGTATTTGAGTTACTTCACAACGAAACACAGAGTTACTTCCCAAGGTACTTCAAAGAAAAACTTTAAACTCATCAAAAATTGCAACACACTCTCTCGACGTTCCTCGTTTCAAAGGTCCTCATTAAATTCTCACAACTCTGACCCAACGTTTTTAAAATATGTATTTCAAGATACTTTTAAATTTTTAATTTTGTTTTATTTCATCGACATTTTTTATTTGAACATAATAACTAATAAGGAATTATAATAAGGAGAATGCACGATAATGGTTCTTTCCCTTTGCAATTAACTGAAGGATTTAAGATACTTAGAGCCCTTTTGCCTTGAGAAGTTAAAGCTCATAAAGTTACAAAGCCTTTCTGCACAGCTTAATTTTATAGCAAATTGAAGGAAATTTAACTGTGGAACGCAAGGCGCCTTATGAGGAAATCTGCGTTGACAACTTCCTTGATATTTCGTACGTTAAACTTGCAAAAATTTTTGTTCAACACCTGTTTGATTCATTTTAATTCCAAAAAATTGATAATAAATGTAATTACAACCTCGATAAGTATCTAATAACGATCGTAATAAACCACAAAATTAGGTATTTACGTGAAATATAATTATTAATTCAATTCGGGAGCTTTAACGAGGCGCATAAAAGAGAAATCGAATAAACGAGATCATTTACAAATATGTTCCTATAATTTCCACAGCAATGTGAACGATATGCATTTAAAGTATTAGCTAATTGAATTTGGTCCAAATTAATTTCATGCCAAAACCAAAATAACTCACTCGACCACACCAGAACGAGTATATTACTAAACAGCTACGGCTATGTAAATAATTACAATTCCTGAAAATACCCACCATTTGCACAAACATTAAATCAACTGGATTGTAACACTTGTTTGTATAAATCTTTGAAAATACAACGTTTTAATGGACTAAGATGTCGAGAAGTATTTTTCTTTTTTATTTCATGTAATTAATAAACGCATTTAATGCCTCTAAATAAATTGGCCACAAATGTTTTTATTTTTTTATAGTTTAGCCAACGAGATAAACTAACTTCTTGTAATGTTCATCTAATTCTAGTTCTTGAAGACATAATTATTGAATGAACAATTTCGTTTTAATAACTGGCAATGTTAGAATACTGTTTTGAATGTAATGATTTGAGTTTTCCTTGTAGCATCCAGCATTCGGGATTGCTTTCTTGTGCCTTGAAATCTTTGGCAGTGAAACAGGGTGTATTAAGCAGAACTCTACCGATGGTCTTCAAATACCTGCCAAAGAGTTCGTGGCCTGTCAACGTCTGCGTGGTGTAGTATTCCACTTCTCCCCATTTCCTATTGACCCACGCTACTAAGTTCGGGATTATAGTTTTCGTCTATGCTTCGATTATCTCAGCCCTTACATCTTTCTTCACGTGGTTTCCTCTTTCATGCAGTACTCATCGTTCTTCCACCATTAGATCGAGCTTAGGCATCGCAGCTATTAACTTTCTTTTACTGGCCCTTGCACATCCTACATTGGGCAACAATTTTTGAAGCAAATTTGACAAGTTCAAGACCTTATTTGCTATCTCCATCGCATGTCTTGTCATCGACATGTCTTTGTTCAAGTATATATCCAGATACTTTACGCACTCGACGCTGTATAACTCCATCTCGTCTATGATGTCCAAACGAATTTCCTTTTTCTTCTTCCCTGTAGGATCTTCGTTTTAGCGGCTGCCACTTTTAATTTTAGCTCAAATGGGGGCAATAAACAAATAAAAGGGTTGGGATGAGTTTGGTTGATGACTTGGTTTGAGTTAGGTTGGGTTGAATTAGGTTGGGTTGAGTTAGATTGGGTTGAGTCAAGTCCAGTTAAGACTAACCATGACATTGAAATTAAAATTACCATTTTTGAGCTTCATTAGCCAATTTCAAGCCGCTGTTAAGGCATAACATCTTACAATTCACAAAAAGTACTCTACGCTTGGATCTTTCGTCATACACGTAATATACCGGAAGTACATTGACATTAGTCCTAAATATATCAGGGTGTGTATTGCTTCGCAAGGTTCTATACCGTAGACAGTATAGACTACAGCCAGCATACTACTAATCTGGCGACTGCTATATGACATATGATATGCTGGCTATATCTGGAAAACGCTAGGCGGAGTTTTTTTGATAGCAAAATCTGTAGAGTACTATCAAAAAAGAACTGAATTTCTCTTTGCAATATTTCGAAACTTTATTGTTTCTTCGGCAGGCAAAAAATTGTTAACAAGAAAGTTCAAAGTTACTATGAGGTTAACTATCAACGGCCATTAAACAATAAATACACTGTTAAAAATACTTATAGGTTAGTTACTAAGTTGGTTACACTTGAGAAACATGAAACAAGTCAACGAATAAACTTTATTCGTTTGGGTGTACTTTTTTCGAAATGATGAATCTGATGGTTTTAAGTAAACTTGTTGACATATTTCTCAAGTGTAATCATATCATATTATGTCATATAGCAGTCGCCGGTACGATTAGTCTTTGTTTCCGCGCTTGCTTAAATTTTTTCATTATGATATTCAAAGCACTTTGCAGAAATCACATTACATGCACACTCAGGGTCAATTGATCAATCATGTTGCGAAAATAAAGAGCAAAATTCTGCAAAACTTTCTGAAGTGTTGAAACATTGAGGTTGTCGATGATCTACTGAATAGCTGTTTTGAGCTAAGTGATGTAATATTGCCCCACAAAAATAAGTCATAAGGGTTGAGATTCCATGCGATTCCCATTTCAGTGACCATTGGGTAGCTCAGAATGCGCTTTCCAAACTACTGTTCCAAGTACTCTAATGATTCGATGGGGCTATACCCTGTCCAACTATCAAATGTGAAAATTAAATGTCGCGATTTTTTGATAAATATTGAAATGATGTTAATAAGAATGAAATATGCTTTAATTTGATACCAAACAAGATATATTTGGGTTAAAACATAAAAAAGTTAGGTTAGAAACTGTCAAATATCAAAATTAAATGTAACGATTTTTTAATAAATATTGAAATGATCTTAATAAGAATCAAAAATGCTTTAATTTGACACCAAACATGTTATATTTGGATTAGAAAATAAAAAAGTTAGGTTATAAACTGTCAACTGTCAAATAATAGCCATCTTGTTTTGTTAAAAATTAAAATATCTCGATAACGGTTGCAGTTAAATAGGTCGAGTTTGGGTTCATTTTAAAGGATTTTTAATTTTTTATCCATTAATGTTAAAAAAAGAACAACTTTACAATTAAAAAATCGCTTTTTCAGGCATGTTATGGGAGAAATCATTTTCTGAAATAGTAACATATCAGGCACAACAAATAGTTACCCAAATAGTTCAGGGTGGAGACACTATCAGTCGTTTTTATCCAAATAAAAGTGAGGTTCGTCGCTAAACCAAACCATATTCACGTCAAATTTTTGTTTGTCAACTTTATTAACTGTTCATGTTTGTCTATGATGTTGGAACATCAATGGAGATAGAACTCAATGACTATGAGTTTGAATTTTCTAAGGTCTTGAAAAATAATTTTGCAACTTGACTCAAAGGTCATTTAACATTGCCAAAGCTATCATCGCCGACACTACCAGTTCTCATCAACTTATTAATCATATTTTAACATGATTTCAATGTATCTCTAAATCGTTAGAGTTACAAAATGCTTTTATCTAACAGTTGAATATAATGAATGCTATGGTCACAAGCAAACAAAGAATTTTTGAAGTTAAAATGAGAATCGAAGTAAATCAAAAAGGAATTCTCGTTACAAAAATAATTTGTTGGAGGTGTCGATTACAAATTCAGTTTCGATGTAATTAAGGAGCCCATAAAAGCTTTTACTTCAGATATACGAGAGTTAAAACGATGTTATGCGGTTACCCATCTACGAATATGGGACCGCAAATGAACGTGAGCACAATCATTTTGCTCCAATCGTGTTCCCCAAACCCAATTGGTAAACTCAACCCAAATAAAAAAAATTAATATTGAATTTTCGAACCCATTAAAATCATAAAAACTGAGATGAGGATTTGAAACACGACATGTTTAATATTTAAAATCACTTTTTTTATTACAGGTCACAAATGTAGAGAAGTTTGGCCTGGAAATGGAAGTGAACAAGCTTACAATTTATTCCTGGACGCTTTGTTGTTATTGGTACCATTAATATTCATGAGTTTAGCCTATTCACTAATAATGACGAAATTGTGGAAAGGATTAAAACGTGAAATTCAACACAACACTAATTGTCAACAACAAGGTAAGTTATAAAAACGGTTACATCATTTTTTTCTTTTCAATTTTCTATTTAATCATTATAAGAATCTATCTTTCGATTGTTAGCGGAGAACTCTGCTGACAATGGATCGTAAAAAGTAAAAAAAGAAAATAAACGACTCGATCATTCACTTGAGTTAAAAGGGACGTTTTGCTTCCGGTTATTCTTCGCGGAGGTTGTAAAATCAATTCTTGAACGCGTGATCGTGAATGTCATTCGCGCCCTTTTCTTTTTAAATTGAATTCTGACTTAAAATAAATATAGTAGAAACAGCAAGAATGGTATAAAAAGAAAATATCTAAGTATAAATAAATAACTTAAGATGTCAAAAGAATATTAAACAGTTTGAAATACGTTTTTCTTTTGTAATCTCATCCTCCCCTTATTGCTTTTTGGTTATTTTTATTGGATGATGGATGATCCCGAAAATAAAGTAGTTTTCTTAGATTTATTAAAAAATTCCTTAAACGTACTTTTAAGTTTATTAAAGATTATTACGATATGCAAATATTTATGGAATTGGAATTCCTAATTTCGTAACACGTCAATTAACTACGCAACAATTTCATAACCTGATGAAGTAATGAAGTTTTGGTTGATGTGGGAAGTTATAAACGTGGCAACAATTTAAACAATTTCAAATCCACAAGTATGAATTTAGTCAATATTTCAAGATTAATGAAACTATTAAACTCTTAACAAACCAAAACGCTTTCCATTCAGATTATTTAGTTTTAGAATTATAGGTACAAAATTTCATTTTAAAAAAGGATATTTGTGAAATAGTAAAGATCGTTCAACTAGATGAATATTGGTTATTTAAGAGCTTAACACAACAAAAATGGAAAAATGTGTTGAATAGGTGTAATAAATATTCTCGTAAATGTGGCGAGAATAAAACCCGGTTGATTTTTTGCTTAAAAAAAAGTTACGTTCTCGTAAAAAAGCCCAATATAAAATAACCGTGTGTTATTACCACCTTGCTTCTAAATTTTATTGGCGGTATAGTGTTTTTCCTCGTTTTCAAATCACTTCTTAGATTGTTATGTTTCTAAAGCAACTTTGTGTTTGTAATAATTTTTACATTACCTAGCTAGGAATGTGTAGGTAAACATTTAACGAAATAAAAAAATTTAAATCTCAGTTAATCCCTTCAACAAAAAATTTCAACCGAGGTCGCATTCGTTCAATTGATGAATGAGTTTCAACAAAGGTAGCGAATACTTCCGGTTTCATCTGGTTTTTTAATTCATTTTTTATCCAACGACGATAAAATCAATAATTTCCTTTCATTGTTTTAGCATAACAAATTTACAGTGTTTCATTCAATATCTTATTATTAAAAATTTTTTATATAGAATCCAATTATTTAAATATCTTGTTGTAAATTAGATACTTTTAGCTTTAATTTAAAATATACTTCATTTCCTAACTCATCATAATAAGGTTTGAACGACTTTTTTAATATTGCAATCATCCCAACATAACAATCACTTAATTAACAAGTGTTCCTATAAAATCATTTCTCTAAACAAATTTTATATTAAACTTAGTTATTTTAATTGTTTTTGTGAAATAGAGATTTTAAGCTTTATTTTAAGATATAAACCACTTCCTAACTCCTCACGATACGGTGATTATTTATATTTTTATAGTTTTTTGAGATATCTCAAATTGGTAGGTTTTCTTATAAGATGTTTTTTCTAAACATTTTCGTTATCAAATCCCATTATTTTAATATCTTATTATAAAACAGAGACTTTTAGCTTCATTTTAAGATATGACTCAATTCCTAACTCATCGTTATAAAATCAGGTTGGTTTTTTCAAATTTCCTACTTTTATGACAACCTAAATTAACAGATTTTCCTATAAGATCTTTTCTCACTCAATTTTTTATATTAAACGACTTCGTTTTATGGGTTTATTCTAAAATAGAAACTTTATGCTTTATTTTAAGATATAAACCACTTCCTAATTCCTCACGATACGGTGATTATTTATATTTTTATAGTTTTTTTGAGTTATCCCAAATTGGTAGGTTTTCTTACAAGACGTTTTTTCTAAAAATTTTCGATATTAAATCCCATTATTTTAATACCTTATTATAAAACTGAGACTGTTAGCTTTATTTTAAGATATAACTCACTTCCTAACTCATCGTTATAAAATCAGGATGATTTTTTAAAATTTACTATTTTTATGACAACCTAAATTGACAAATATATAAGATATTTTCTCAGAAAATTTTTTATATTAAACTACATCATTTTATGGCTTTCATTGTAATTTAAAATCACAAATTATAAACACGATGAATAATTATATATATAGAGCAATAAAATTGACAGATAAACCGTTTTTGAAAGAAATAAAACAAAAAATATATGATATTTTGTTAAATAATTTTTATCCCAAACACTTGATTAATAACTCATGGTTTACAATACTAAATAATATAGATAGATTGAAAGTCAAAACAAATAATATAACCCCACAAAATGATCAACAAAGGGCAAAGAATACAAATACAGAAAATATAAAAGGAGATATAAATAAAAAGAATAAACCAACTATTAGACAATCCCTAATTACACAATTCATACCTAGACAAACTAATACAGGGCAGAATGTTCCAGAAAGCGATCTTAGCACTCAGGGAAATATTAACAATAAAAGCACCTCATAATAATAAAGAAAAATATCCGAAATACAATTTGCTAAATATAATAACAACAAAATTGGTACCTTAATATCAAATATGAAGGATAAAATCAAGACATTAGATAGAGTAGATCCGTATATCAATTAAAATGTACTGACTGCAATAAAATTTACATAGGGGAATCTAAACAACATCTCAAAAAACGTATACAACAACATAAATACGATACTAAACAAATGAAAACGCAAAACAAAACGGCTTCATGCTAACATTCGGTAACTTTAACTCACAAATTTGATTTTGAAAATCCCAAAATATTAACAAATAAAAACACACTAATAAGAAAAAACTTGGAATCAATTTTCATAACAAAAAACATTAATAAAGCAGTTAACTTTAAAACTGACGTAGGACGAATAGGGGCTTTTTTTTGATATATCCCAAATTGGTAGGTTTTCTTATAAGATGTTGTTTTCGATTTTCGATATCAAACCCCATTATTTTAATACCTCATTATAAAACAGAGAGTTTTAGCTTTATTTTAAGATATAACTCATTTCCTAACTCATCGGTATAAAATCAGGTGTTTTTTTTTAAAGTTTACTATTTTTATGACAACCTAAATTAACAGGTTTTCGTATAAGATATTTTCTCAGGAAAATTTTTATATTAAACTACATCATTTTATAGCTTTGTTGTAAAATAGAATCTTTAAGCTTTATTTTAAGACATAAACCACTTCCTAACTCCTCATGATACGGCTCTGGATACATTCTATGATACATTTTATAGCTTTTTTGAGATATCCCAAATTGCTAGGTTATCTTATAAGATGATTTTCATAAAAATTTTCGTTATCAAACCCATATATTTTAGTACCTTATTATAAAATAGAAAGTTTTCGCGTTAATTTAAGATATTCTTCATTTTCTAACTCATCATAATAAGGTTTGGACGACTTTTTTAAGTTTGCAATTTTTCCAATATAATTCAAGTTAACAAGTTTTCTTATAAGATCTTTTCTTTTAAAGGAAATTTTTAGATTACACAGCATTATTTTATTGCCTTGTTATAAAATAGAGTGTTCTGAAATCCTCATAATAAAGTTGGGATGATTCTTTTGTAATTTTTTTGATATATCCCAAATTAGTAGCTTTCTTACAAAATGTTTTCCTTCTTTTTACTAAAAAATTTGTGTATTAAATTCAATTATTTCTTAACTTCTCATAATAGGATCGGAATGTAAAAAAAAAAATCTTGTTATAAAATTGATGAAAGATTCAGGTTTTTAAAAATGTAAAAATACTTTTTATTCGCATTAACAATTTTTAAAACTTTTAACAGAATGCAAACGGTAAAACTTTTTATGCAATCGCAATTTTAGGAAAGTTTGTTACCTGGGATCGTTCTCCAAATGAAAGAAGTTTCAGATTCCTACAGGCCGCGGAGTTTGTAACTGTCATTTTCAAACTTCTCCCCGAACTTATCGACTACTAGGTCACATCCATTTAACGTACCCAGCAATATGTTTCATTTAAAAGCCCAGCCTCTTCAAACTTCAAATAAACGAGACGTCACCTAACTTTATCATTTTAATAAAAACCGAACCTTTTCAGGAACCTTTCCCTTCTTATTCCTTTAGCTTGTCAATTTTCGTTTCCATTTTTTTTTTAATAAAAAAAGTTTGTCATAATTTTGCGCTTTGCGTGGTTAGTGCTTAAAGTTGTAGCGAACGATGGAGAGGAGAACAACATAAACTGAAATTTATTATGGAAATGGGACGTCCGTTAAAGGACTGAGGAAGAGAAGTTTCATCAACTTCACAATGACCTTCCCCTGCGTAAATCAAACGGTTGGAAAGGGGTGACATCCTCACATCGAGCAGATTTCCATCCTGTCGATTGAATAATCCCATCAGAATTAATTCATCCAACCACATAATTCTTGCTCACTACCCCAAAAACGTTCTTAGTATTAACCATTACAAATGTTGCAATTAAAACTAAAATTGGGTAATTTAAATTTCAGAATTAGAATTTTATACCTTAATTACAACAATCCATTTCAAAAAGTTGAACATTTAAGTTTTGTTTGCGCAAACCAAAACACCTCTCTGGTTTCAAATGATTAATGACGAAAGATACATTAATCTTTCCATCTGGCTAATTCATCAAAATGATAAAAGGGACATTAAAAAAATTGAAATTATCTCGAAATATATGAGATTATCATAAACATTTTTAATTTCATCAATTTTTCATCAAAAATTCAAAAATTTCATCAAAGTTTTCATTAAGATAGTAACTTAATGAAACATTTTTCAAGTTGGATAAATCGGAATGACGGAAAATGCGGGGGAGGGACATAAATGGACGTTATCCAGTTTAATTAATAATCTCGCAAAATTCAAATTAATCGCATTTATTCGAGCCGGGTTTGTTTGCAAACTACGATACGTGACGCGAACGATTCGTACAACAACGTCGGAGATAAACATTGGACCCGCATTTAGTGCAGTTTAATGTAGCCGCAATTCCGAATACCCCTGGCTTCGATTTTGTCGAATACCACCCTAGTTCGACATATTTATTGGTTGTTTTTCGCGAGGATTCTGCCGTTTTCGAGCGATTTACGACGGAAACTTTTCAGATTATTGAATTTACATCGATGTCCGTAACCGAAAAATTTGTAATTTAACGTCTACAACGCCGGAAATAAATCGAAATAGAATCGTTTGTTGTAAAAAAAAAAATAGAAGCGTTGATTTGTGTATAAAAAAAAACAAAATAAATTATAAAAAAAATATAAAAATCTCCGGCGGTTTATTTAGCAAACGTATATTTTTCGTGTTTTGATTTACTTTTTGACGTTTAATATTTTGTAAATAATTCATCTGTGACACTCTTTCCGTTTCAAATACGAGAATATTTAAAAATTATTCAACAATATTTTAAAAGCTTAAAACCGCTTTTGTGAATGCATAAAAATTTATGGTTTAATATGTCATAAATAAATAACGTTATCAAAAGATTCATCATGTTTATGTCAACATAATTTTATTTATAACTAACTTGTTTTATTTCTTCTGTATTTAGTCATCTGCCTCCATCTTTTTCTAAGTCTTCCAATGTTTCTTCGTCTTGATGGTGATTCTGTCATTCGGTCGATGTGATCATCCCACTTCTTGTCCAAACAACCCATCTGATGTTCTCGCTTCTTTCTCTGTCAATAAATCCCAACTATTCTACGCACTATTTTCATTTCTGTAGTTTCTAGCATTCTTTTTGTTTTGAATATTTTTAGTCTAATCTCTGCTGCATATGTTTATACAGGGTGATTTATTAGCTCACTAACAATTTTGACATATGACAGCTAATCCAATTACCAAAAAAAAGTTAATGAACCAATGTCCTATTTCAATTATTTACGAAATTATAACACTTTAAAGTTTTCTGCAGCGAATTTATTAATAGTCAGTAAAATCAAACATTCAACAAAAACAAAGTTGTCAGTTTGCTGCAAGTTGTAATATGTCAGTTTGCTGCAAGGTTTAATTATTACATACAAGAAGAAACTCAAAATGTACGCTTATAGCACTGAAGAGTATAAGAGTACGCTTATAGCTGATATAATTTTCGTGTATGATTTTTGCAATGGAAATATGAAGAAAGATTTCTACAGCGTCATTTGCCATATTGTTCAGTTTTTAGCGATTCTTTCAGGTGACTTCGAGAAACTGGTAATCCTGCTCCAGCAAACGCTATTCGACCATGTTCTGCATGTAGTTAATGTACAGGACGATCATGTTCTGTCATTGATAATCCTAGATCACCCGACCTTAATCCATTGGATTTCTACTTATGGGATCATATGAAACGAATTGTGTATCAAGTGGAAATTAACACACGAGAACAATTATTAAACAGAGTACAAATGGCTGCCACTGAATCCCTCTCTTATCTGCATCCTTCTCTCCTGTCTCTGGACGTCTCTATCCCCGTCGCTTCCCTCCCCCCCACATCACTACCCCTTCCCTTCTTCTGTTATTTATCTCTGCCTCCGAATAACTCATCCTTTTGTAATACTCCCTCCTTTCTCCTTTATCATATCTAATCTTCCCCTCCCTAACTTCCATCCAACACTCTCCCAAGATCCATCAGAAAGGTCTTCTATCTATTATGCCCAAATATTTGAATTTCATTTCTTGGTGTATGATTTTATCATCGATCACCAGCTTGCAGCTTGCAGATCTTGCAGAGAGGAGGTAGTCATGCATTTTGTTTTTGCCGCTGGTATAGTGATGTTAAACTGTTTTGCTCTTTTATTAAACTGGAACAGTAACTTCTGGAGATCATCCTCGTTTTCCGCAACCAGCACCGCATCATCTGTATAGCATAGGATGTTAACCACCTTATTTCCCATCTTGTATCCTTTTAGTTTGTGCACTTGTATAATTTCATCCTCTTTATATGATATTGTACGGTATTTATCTATCATAGAGGAGATGTAGTATAGTCTTTAACTGTATTCGATCGATTTTTCAGTTATTTGTCTTATGACAATGATTTTTTTTGTTATGGCTATGATTCTGTTGTTTTATTTCCCTTTTTTTAAAGTAATTTTGGATATAAATAAGAAATTCAGTATATTTTGAGATATGAAAATAATGGTGGAGGAGCCGGAAATGTTTATTTTTGCACCAAAGTTTCAATTTCCCTTAAAATCATTAATTGGAAACACATTTCCACTACGTCTCTTCCTATTTAGGAGACATACTCAATATTCTTACTCTAACCCATTAGCATTTCCATTACAGAAATCATACACCATATACACATCGACATATTCATTAAAATCAAAATCAATTTGTTAAGATATCCATGTTTCATTAAACATCAACGTGGATTTTGTGCTGCAATTTTAAACTCAAAACAATATGACAAGCTATAAGAAAACGTATTAGTAATGTAATGAGTTCTGAGCATCGACTTCAATGCGATATCTTTATCTTGGTTGTTGTGGAGGAAGTTATAAAGCCGTAACCAAACGTATATGTTCTGACAAGGAAATAGTCAGAAAAGTATGCAGAACTAATTTACTTTATCGGCAGCTACTTATTTCAAGGTCGACATCAACTGACACTAGCAACCTCGCCCGGCTTGGATTAAGCTAAACCATTCAAAACCTGGACATCATCATTACAAGTTGTCTGGTCAACTTTTTTCTGGCAGAAAATCGCCCAACTGCAACCGTCTGAGCAGGTTGAATTGCTAAATTGTCAGTTATGCACTAACCTATTACTGGTATGAAGACAATTTGTCTCTTACAATGTCTGCTTTATTTTACTTAACCCTATTAGGTGTCTGCAACAAAGTCCTCTACACTTACGCTTTGTTATCGATCCTTGCTTATTCGATACCTCGATAATATCATTATAACTTTACTGGTCGACGTCTTCTATGCAAGATAACCAAGCTTAGTTGCAAGGTCAGTTGCAACTAACCTGATGACCACCTAGTTTAGTTCACCATTAGATCATGAACGGGGTCTTCCACACTTTGCCTTGCTATCAATCGTTGTTTATGCAAAATCTCAATCATTACAACTTGTCCAACTCCACCATCATTACAACTTGTTTGATCAACGTCACTTCTGAATGAAAACTTCTCAACTATCCATAACTGCCCTGGTAATCACTTAGTTCACCATTAGGTTTCATGCAGTCTGATTTTTGACCCTACAGAGCCAGTACGTTGACGCTTTTTTGAGAAACTCGAAGTCCATCATCATTGTCCTAGATGTCAATGCCACCGCTTACGTCGTTCACAGATATACCACTTCTATGGTGTTTCTATTGTCATATGATTATCTAGTTTATCTTGTGTTTGCCATTCTCTACATTAACAATAAGTCAGCAGTATATGGTCTACCAGAACTAATGTCTAGCTTTCTACTAACAGTATCTAATCTTTTATTAGCAGTATCTAATCACCTGGGAACAGTATTTAGTCTTCTGCAAGCAGTATCTACTCATCTGCACGGAATATCTAGACCTCTGCCAGTAGCTAAAATTCTGCCATAAATATCTAGTCATTTGCAACCAGTATTTATACTTTTGCCATCAGTATCTTGTCATTTGCAAGCAGTATTTACTGTTCTACCAGCAGTATCTAGTGTTCTACCAGCAGAAGCTAGTATTTTTTTTAGTACGAACACCCAAACGTACAATAATCTAATAGATATTAAGTTTTACCAGAATCACACCACCCGAAGTAGCACCGAAAGTGATACCAGCAGTGTTAAGTCGTCTGAAAATAACATTTAGTCTTCTGCCAACAGTAACTAGTCATCTACATACAGTATCTAATCATCTGCAAGCAGTATTCGTAACATATCCAATCTTTTCGTAATATTTCGATAACTTCTTATGCATTCAACTTTTTTAAAGTTATTTAGAGTAATGTATTATGGCAACTCTACCTGTTTCGGTAAAAAATAGCCATTATCAGGAGCATTATGACAAAAAATTAAATTAAAATGTAACAAGATTTATAAACATAAAATCATGTCCACAGCAAGACCAGGTGTATAAACGAGTTAATGAAAAAGCAGTTTTTTATCCAATATAACTAGGTCTTTAATGGAGTTAACGCGGTGCGCAACACTTGTCCTGTACTCATAATCGAATTTAATGAACTAAAAAAAATAGTCCGACAGCTCGTTATGTTCGGAGATAAATTATTTTTTCACAAAAATCGTAAAATCTGTTTTAAATTGTATATTTTTTGTTTTGTTAGCTTTCGATCGATCCTCAAGTTCGCTGAACGTGAACTCAACTTTGGTGAGGAATAATAACGCATCGACAACAACAGTGAACAGTTTGGCATCACTAAGAACGCATAGATTGACGGCGAATAATGCTTCGCCGAGGGAAAATATCAAAGCTTCCTCTACAGGGAACACTGAGAGAAATGGAGGAGGAGGAAGCGGGGACGTTGTCGGTTGTAACTCAAAGGGTAGGAACAAGAAACAAGCGGTGAAAAAGTGGCTGATGAAAGGAATTGTACAGGTTTGATATAAACCCTTCTTTTAAAAAGTTTTTTTTAATTAAAAAATAAAAAGTAATTACGAACTTTTGTGACATTCATTTATACCGAATTAATTATTGGTGAAATTTGTATATTATATTAATTCTTTTAATAATATATTTTGAGCAAATTCAAAACATAAACAGCAAAGCATGTGATTTTCGATAAATATTTAACAAGGAAATTAAATTCCATACACCTCATTTATTTACAAAAGCCCAGGGCTATGTAAATTTCAACAGATCGTCGCGAAATACCATTAATTTATTTCCGCCTATTGTTTTAATCAAATAAATACTTTTATGTATTTTTGTGTTGAAACACGACCATTATTGCTGTTCACTCTTATCAAAATACATTGTTTTATTGGATTTCAAATCAGATTATCAAGCAGTTAGGGATTTTATTAAATTTATTTAGTTTTTTTTTAAGTTAGGCGCTTTGTACCGCAACTGAAAACCAACTGATTATTGAATTAATACATTGTACGTATGTTACGATTGAATTTGATACACCACTATAATATTGAATTGATCAAAGCCAGGAATTCAATTACGATACTCTACCCACCGCTTCATACATCTGAATAATATATCAAACGATGTATATATTCTCTAGAGATATTTAGAAAATACATGATTTTTTAACTTAATTAGGAGAAAAATACATACAGTTCCTGTAAAATTATGTTATTTTTTTAATTAAATATACGAGGTCGATATAACGACGGACCTCGTTCGGGGTATTCCCCGAGATTATACGATTTATAAATCAATGAACGAAAATTTGAGCAAATGCTATCATTAACGTATCTTAAGAACGAATTGAGATATCATCTTGAACTAAAAAACATTTTAAAGCAAATTTGATGAAAATTTAATGTGCCATAAATAATTTTTTATTTTCCATTAACATCGTTGTTATGATTTTTTTAAACTCAACTTAGCATCTTTGATTATTCAAAACTTTAAGAAAATGTTAAATAAACACTAGACCTAGAAGAGTTCTCCGTTATATCGAGGTTTTACTGTATTTAAGTCAATTTTAACTAGAACTAAACCAACATTATTAAAAATATACCGTCATTATTTTTCTTGATATTTTTGTAAGCTGCTTATTTTTAAGTAGAACGAGGAAATAAAATAAAAAGAAAATAAAATTATTGTTCTCGAATAAAACTCTCTCTCTCTACTAACTAATTAATACATTGATGTGACTTAGGTGTTTTATTCTTATTTAGGTCAGTCTACCAGGAAATGCAAGTAGAGGATACTGCAACTACAGCTCGACTAAAACTACCGTTGTTCCACGATACGAATTGGCTACCACCAACTCGACATCACAAGGGAATCCAACTCCCACTGAAACCGAGAACAACGTCGATGAAACAACATACACGTTTACCAGACAACCGATTAGGTCGAATTATATGGATAAAAGTATTGAAGCTAAAAAGAAGGTAAGAAAATTAAATTTAAATTCGTTAAAATGCAAAAGCTAAGTTTTCATATTATACAATCACGTAGACAACAAATAGAATTTTCACGGACCATTGAAAATACAATTTCCCAAAGGGGATCAGGAACGAGCACCCACGCATTTTAAATTTTGCGATATCTTTATTGTAACAGTCCAAAGTGGTTTATTTCTCAATCATTCATTTCTTATCTAACACTCCCCTTAATTAAACGCGCAAATTCCAACCGATCGATCTTATTTTAATCTTTTATTTTCTCTAACAATTGTGCCTTTTAACTTTTTTTCCAAAGTTCAATAAAATCGGCTTAACTTTTCGTTTCGTGGTGCTTTTCTCTACCGTAGGAAGAAAGGTGGAAGAGTCGTAGATTTTAACCTCGGACAAGTTTAGAGACCAGGTAGATGAAACGTGACCGGGAAAACTCGGCAAGTCATAAAAAAGCCGTCGCAAAAACGGGCTTTAACCGTCAAAAGCTGCCGGAAAATACTACAGAGTTGCCCCTCCCTGTTTAGCATACAAAGTAACCACTTGACGAGCTCTGTGTGGATTACGAGCTGGCCAGGTGTTGTCTAAATTTTCTTTAAGCGTCTCTTTTTTCACTCTCTTTTTTTCTTTTTACAGTTTCAATGTACGTTGTGGCTTCATCCTCAGACTACCACTAATTACTTCTTACCAATTTATTTGCAAATTAACTTTTTCTTGATGATGTTAAGAATTAATTATGAAAATAAAATTTTAAAAATAAGGTGCAAGGTTGTAATCAAATAATCGTAACTCCGAAAGTTTGAAGATGATTTCAAGTTTTAAGAGTGTGATTTAAAAAATGATAACAACGATGATTATGCAAAATAAGAAATGATTTATGGTGAACTACATCTTCATTAAATTTGCTTTAAAATGCAAATATTTAAGCAAATGCTGCAGTTCCTACATCTCTATAGCAATTGCTTATTCGAACAGGTCTCAACCTGCAAATTTAGATACTTCAACTTTTACTACTGTGTTGACGTTAATACAACACCGTGGGTTAATAAAACATTCTGTGCCATGGCAGATTCTAGTGGAAGTGACGAATTTAACAGTGATGAAGAAATTGAGAAGCGATTAATATTAATAACAAAAAAATTAGTAATATGAAAGCCGAAATAAAAAAGAAGTTCGACATTAATAAGATAGGCAATAAAGCTATAGTATATAAACTTTGCGAAAAATTATTATTAGACATATTGGATGTACAGGGTGTCCAAATTATCTCAGTTATTATAAAAGATAGAAAGTTGCGGCTTTCGCGAACCTGAGCTACTTTTTTGTGAAACTTACAATGGCGCAAACCAAATTTTCATAGCCCTCTTAATAATAATAATAATAATAATAAAGGTCTTTATTTCTCTCTAAACCAAACACAATTAGAGTTACATAATCGACGAAGGCCGAGGTTCAGCCAGAAGACTGATCTTCCACCTAACCCTTGAAACGTAAAAAAAAACATATAAAAAACTATATATGTATACAAAAAGGGACTAAATTTAAGAAATAAAAATTAAAAAAAAAACAAAAGGCAGCAAAATAAAAAATCCAATTGGTAAGTTAAGTTATTAAATTATTAAATTCGGTGGAGGCCCAAAAAAATTTAAACAAAAATGTAAAATTATGTAAATTTACTCAGAAAAAGCAAACCGACTTTCTATTTTATTTTATTTTATTCTCCCCCACAGAGGTAGACAGTCATATAGAATGGTATTCCTGGTGCTCACATTGTTGAGTCAGCAAATAGCGATGTAATTTGTTTTTAAAATTTTTGTTACTTAATTAACAGAATTCTGTTGGCAATTTATTCCAAATTAATGAACACAATGTACGTGAAAGAGTGTTTGAAAGATTCTGTTCTATGTTTTGGTACATCTAGTAGTCCCCGATATCTGACATTGACGCAGTGAATATCTGATCTAAATCGAATCTTACGGCAAAGACAGGACGGAGTTTTTTGCACGAGGATTTTGTTGTACAACACAGCAGCATGTAACTGATGTCGATTTGCCATATTGAGCCATCCAACTATTTTAAGTTTGTACCCGTTGGACTCGCTGCATATCTCGAGCTCTAAGGTGTGGCCCATAAAGGACATCACAGTAGTACGGTTAGACGGATTTTAATGTTTTATATCTTTATACAGGGTGTATCAGGTATGAGTAGAAAATCAAATTTGTCCCATTCTTTGTGCTTTTTAAGATATGATACGATAAAGTTAAGGATTCACAAGTTTGAGTACTACTGGTTAATGAATTATACTAAGCAGGCTTTGCTTTGCAATTTGTTATTTGTTTCTAGTTTTGTAATTTTGTTGTTCAATTTTCACATTGAAGAGTGATAAATTTATTCGTATAAAGTAAACAACCTCTAAAAAAATATCTCAAAAATGCCTTTATGTGTCAAATTAAAGCTATATACATAAGCAAAGCCTGCTTTGTATAATTTTTTATGCAGCAGTACTTAATCTTTCAAACCCTTAACTTTATCGTATCATATCTTAAGAATGGCAAAGAATGGGACATTGTGTTATAAGAATGTTTTATTCACAAAAATAACTCCCTATATATGCCCGTTCGAAATATTTAAGAATTTTGATTAAAACACAAAAACTACTTAGTCAAATAAGTCAATTATCTGTTAAAAGAATTGAAAACGACTCACCGATTGGATGTGGTTTCCTTTGGATTTTACTTCGACGCTCAGCTGGAAAGAAAAGATAAATAATGTATTGTGACAGAAAAAATAAATTAATAAGGTCATAAATTAATATAATCGATGGCATAAATATAGCACGTATTTATCAGTTAATTCAAGTAATAAGTTTTATTTTTCAAAACTACTTTATCACCCTTAAATGCCCGCACATCAACTAAAATGCGTTATTAGCGACTCTACTTCCAAACATCCCCTCCTTAATTTATTGTGTGAAAAAGGAATACTGGAGGTGAACAGATTCTTTTGTACTGTTTTTAAGAATACTATATATGTTAGAACTTTTGAAAATTCTGCTATCGTGTACTAACCCTGGCCATTGACAGTCTACGCTAGTAAAAATTTCTTTTGCATTACATGTTGCCTGTACGTTAATACTTGGGGTATCCTTTTCGGTTTATGGCAGTTGGAAAACGGTATCTCTCTGACCACAACAGTTTAGCTTCTACAAAATCTTCAGCACTTCTAGGAAATCTAATGAAAATATTAGCTTTTTCCAAAACTGCATACTTTACGGAAGTAAATGTCTTACAGACAGTACTCTGATAAATACCGAGTTCTTCAGCTACAGAATTTTGAAACCCCGGATCGGATAACTGTCGCAGAAAGATTTTCATCTGCTGTATAGGTGATAATGAAGCACCTCGCCTTTCACCACTATCAGTCAAAAAGTAATTTGCTAACCACTCAACATTTTCGCGATCAAACCGATATTGAAATCATCATCTCTGCAATTTTTACGTACACTGTATATTTTTCGTTTACGCACATTCATATATTCAGCCATAATTAAAAAGGCTTAAATGAATAGGAACTCACGTATATGCCGTAGAGATTCAAAGTTGACTACACAAGCAAGTGATGCAAGGGTTGACCTACCTTACAAATATGTAAGCAATTCCTTCGTTTATTCATAACATTTTAAGCATATGTAAGCAATTGCATCTATTTTTTAAGAAAATAATTCGACTAGAAGCAATTTCTGCACGTTTAAGCAATTGCTAGCAGCAAGACTAATCACTTCAATTTTTATTCATTGGTTTTCAAGTATTTGCTTCGATTTTGCAAGAAAAAGCAATTGCAAAATTTTTATTCATTAGGACCAATGTTTATGGAAATTAAGAAATTATTTATGGCACATTAAATCTTCATCAAATTTGCTTTAAAATACCCTTTATTTCATGAGATATCTCAATTCGTTCTTGAGATACGATCTTTTAAAATTTATATTTCATATTCATAACAACCAAACATGAAGAGATTTATTTAAAAAATCATAACAACGATGATTATGGAAAATAAGAAATGATTTGTGGTGCATTAAATCTTTATTAAATTTGCTTTCTATTTCATGATGATATCTCAATTAGTTTTTGATATACGATTTTTTTAACATTTTCTTAAAATTTCGAATAATCAAACATGTTAAGTTAGATTTAAAAAATTCATAACAACGATGTTTATGAAAATTAAGAAATTATTTATGGCACATTAATTTAAAAGTTATGGTACACTTAGCCTTTAAATAGTTTAAAATTATTCCCAATAGTTCGCAATTTCTCGTTGAATCAAGAAAAGAAGTTAAAGTTAGTTTTAGTTTTAAATCTAACTAAATCTAACAATCTGGAAAGGATTTCAAACAAGATCCGTGGTCCTCACAAACAAATCCCTTCGACTATGAATTACCATTACGTATTCCGCATACTATTTACTACCACCAGGCGTCAGTTCAACGAGGGGATTTATTCTATGTATACTTTTACGATGTAGAAACCATTCGGTTTCGTCTAAAACCTATTGAAAATCAATGTTTACATGTAGATTTATGGGTTATATCATATGGGTGGATGCGTTTGAATGCAACATGTTAACCGATTTCGTTTCCCAGTTGTATAAAAGTCTATTTTTAGCAAATTCTATTTGTTTTCTTTTTTTTTTAGGTTATACGAATGTTGTTCGTCATCGTGGCGGAATTTTTCGTTTGTTGGGCCCCCCTTCACATAATAAACACGTGGTACGTGTTTTATCCGGCTGCCGTGTACCAATATGTTGGAAGTACCGGGATTTCACTAGTACAACTTTTGGCTTACATCAGTTCATGTTGTAACCCTATAACTTATTGTTTCATGAATAGAAAGTTTCGACAAGCATTTCTTGGAGTTTTTCATTGCTGCAGGTAAGTAGTCGATCCAACTAACTAATCACCTAATTTGCTTTACACAGCATTATTACCCTGTCATTTTCGATACAATGAAATTAGAACTAGATGGAATAGCCCCTTGATTTATTACTGTTATTAATCAAGACGTTTCACATTAATAATGTATCAGGGAATTTATTTGTACACTCTTGATATGTTGAGATAAACCATGTAATATTTCGCAACTAAATCAGTAACAGACGAAGGCACAAGATATAACACGATATTCGTTCTATTTTCAATACAGGAAGCCCTTACGAGTTGTCAACGAGACCGACGGCATCCCCAGAGACAATCCGCGTAAAAATATTCAAACTTATATGCATCGAAGGTGTTCGTTCCATTTAGATTGCGTGCACTCGCAGTTTTGCCCATCCGTGCTAAATCCGACAACGTCAACATCTTTTCTCGTGATATTTTCAATTTTTTATTACTCAAGAAATAAGGAAATTCTTACCCAAATATTTTTAAACTATTTTTGGTGGCTATTGAATTCGCAATTAATGAAGACATAGTGATGAATATGTGACATGTGTTGTGAATTTCTCGTATCTTGTTCGCTGTCAGCTTTGGGCGACGGAGAAGCACGTTATCCCACATAGCATCCTGTGCACTTATGCATTGAAGGCAGGAGCACTCACTCGACATGCCGAGGATCCCTGCAGGACATGGAACTTGGGTGAAACTCAAGTAGTATGACGTGGACGTTTTCATTATGTTCTCTATATACTAACAATTTCAAAATATTGAGTCTATTTAGTAACGAAATTATTTAACTAAAATAACCTTTTTACCTCTTTGGAATGTATAAAACATAGGGCTTATTCTCCTTGAAGAGATTTAATTAAATTAATCCACGTTCTCGCTCTAAAAGCCTTCTCTTTGTGACCATGTTATTCGATAACTTTAGATGGAACCATCTTTGATCTACGAGGCTAATAGTAAAATAGTAATTAATATTTAATTCGCGTAACGAATAAAAAAAATCTTATTAGTATTTACACTAAAGCAAACATAAAGCTTTTGTAGCAAGTTGTATTTTGTCGTCGACAAGATTTATATTTTTTCTCAAGTCCACTTCAAAGAAAATCGATATTCCATTATCGTTTTTCCTCGGAAGGTTCAGAGAATACCTCCGTTTATTTTTGTACGTAGAGTTTTTTTCGAGAGAAATAAACAAAGCTCAACGTCCATTTTAGTTTTTATTCCCTCTTTAAATTTCTGGAAATTTAAACCAAAAAAAAAATAATAAAAAATAAAGCCTTTTGCGTTTGTGTTTTAGAATGTGCTGTTGGTGTCGAGATGTAGAAGATACAGGAACTCCCGGTAGTAATACCCGCAGGAATGGAAATGGGAAGATGGCGCAAAACAATTCTGACATTTCTGGAAATGATTCTACGGTTTACGTCGGTAGAGCGAGTACTTTAGGTAGATCTGGTAAGTAAATTCATAAAAATCAATTAAAAGTTACGATCACTTAATCTACCATATAAAACCGCTTAACCAAAAGTTCGGTCGAGCATTAATACTTCGGATTAGTGGATGCTTCATGGAAAACTTCGCGTCCGTGAAAATGCATATTCATCAAAAACCGCGCGAGATACTCAAAGAAAACTATACGCTCTCGCCTGAAAAAAAAAGGACGAAAATAAAAATTTTATCCTGAAATTAAAAATTACAACGAGAAATTTTTTCGTTGTTTTCTTCATTTCCGCTTCCGTGCTTTTTTTAAAGGTCAGACGACGAGTGTTTATTTAAAACCACTCGCAACGTACTTGTACGAACTTATTTACGTAGTTAATAGGATTTGAACGAATTCCCAATGTCGGATGTGTTTGTGGTTTTATCAGGACGAAACCACATCCCCTTTTATATCACCGATGTTATTTCAGGAATCGGTCTGGAATTTACGGTTATCCCACCATCATCTGGTTTAAATTACATGCTTATACATAGTTTTTGAATATAAAGTGTAAAATTAAAGTATTAAATTTTAAATTAGAAACGAATTAGGTTACATCGTGAACCAAGAAAACTTTTCAGAATCAATGTAAAGATCAAATTTTAAAGTTGTCTAGTTTGTATGTAAATTTAACCTTTTATTTTTGTGGGTGGATTTTGAAGTTTTCGTTTTTTTAAAAAGAAAATTTCTAATAAGAAAATTAGTTCATGTTATGTATTGGTGTTTTCTAAAATGCTCTTTCAATGAATTTCCCTTCACAATCAATCAATAAAGTAATTAAGCAAGATTATGTCTCCACAACTGTACCAAATGTACATTTTTGAGTGATTAAATAATTTCCAGAAACTAACCTGATGGACAGTGACCATGTTACATCATCAACCCGTTTCTGTCCACTTCTGGACATAGCATATCAAGGCACCTCCAGTCCTCCCTATTCTGAGCTATTACGATCTAGTTTGTTGCTATTCTTCTGAGATCATCTGTCCATCGAGTCGGTGGTCTACCCCGACTGCGTTTATCTGCTCTCAGTCGCCATTCTAGGATTTTCTTCGTCCACCTGCCATCTCTCAGTCTAGCCCGTGTACTTTTTGCATGTGTGTTGTGGCTTTTCTAACATTTTTCGGACTTCTTGAAGGTCTTCTGATATTAAGACTATATCATCCGCAAATCTGAGATCGACCATAATACCCTTATTTTCCCAATCTAAAGTTTTGAATGAGTGTTCTAGAACTGCCGGCCGTGAATAGTTTTGAAGATATTGTATATTGTATCTCCCTGTCGAATCCCACTTTTTAACTTCCTTTGATCATGATACAAGTGGCTTTAGCTTTGGCCTTTATGGTCCTTTACAGAGTATATTTCTATCTCCTTGAATTGTTGGGACTACGATATCAAAAATGTGGTATTGTCCATGCCTCTAGAGCTGGCTCTGATGGTACTAAGTGGTGTGATGACGGAGGTAGATTTTCCTTAGTTTGATGTAAATGAGATGTTACAGTAGTTGGAAATGAAAAGTTTAAGGTTGTCTAACCATGTCTTAAAAAACATATCTTTGGTACATTATTTCTTCTTATCATAATATGATGGTGGTTGGAACCCCGTTACTATTTAACATAAGACAAAAATATACTTCATGTATTAGTGTTATCTAAAATGCTCTTTCAACGAATTTCCCTCCACAATCAATCAATAAAGTGCATTTTTGAGTGATTAAATGATTTCCAGAAACTGATGGACAGTGACCATGATACATCATCAGCCCGTTTCTGTCCACTTCTGAACATAGCAAACCAAGCACCTCCAGTCCTCCCTGTTCTGAGCCATTACTCTTCGTCCACCTACCATCTCTCAGTCTAGCCACGTATCCGACCCATCTCCATTATAGCCCCGCAATACGTACGATGATGTCCTCCACGCCCGTTCTTCTTTTCACTTTTTCATTTTGGATACGGTCTCTCAAGGACAACCCTAACATGGAACTTTCCATTCTGCGTTGTGTCACTTGTAGTTTTCTTAAAATCGGTCTTAAATATGTCCCAAAGTTTTCCATAAGCTGCCCAACCTAAGGTTATTCTTCTCGAAAGCTCGCACGTCTGATTATCTCTACCAATCCGGACTTCATGGCCAAGGTATATGTATTTCTTAATGATTTCTCGTTTTGGAGATATTGTATCTCCCTCTCGAATCCGTCTTCCTCTTTTGACAATGGTTACTAATTACAACTGGGATAAAGGCTGCACTAGGGAGGAGGACTACCACCTATAGGAGAAAGTCAAAAACCAAGATAAGTACCAAGGTAAGATTGAATGGGGGAGATGAGAAAAATAGAGTATAGATCAGAATATTGGGTCCATATTGAACGGGGATTGGCTAAGAACAATGACTGAATTCATCATCCATTGTAGTCTGAAACGATCGGAAGTCTCCTTGTTGTGAACACCTTCTATCTACTCCTAGCAACACACCGATTTCACGAGTGTTGGACTTCCGCACACCGGAAAGCTGATCAATAAGACTTGGATGACTTTCTTCGAGTTGACCAGGTAGATGAGTTTAGGCAGGTGTTATATTAACCAAACGTCGTCCATGTCATCCTCTTCAATTTTTGGAAACAAACATTTGTTGAGTATTACATTTGACCGTAACGGCGGTCCTTGCTCACTGTCGGAGAAAAATGGCAAAATGATGCGACCGTGCCAAAATCTGCATCAAATAGTGACTCGCTCTAGGTGCATGAACTTTTCAATTTTTCTCATTCACGTGGCCTTCATGTGGAAATAGGCTTCATCTGAAAACATTGACCTGACAACAATGTTGTTGTAGGATATTGTATATTCACTGGGTGGAGGCTGCTCTTCGGGACATTTGGGTTGGACTTCGTAACAACTAGGATATTTCTATCTCCTTGAATTGTTGGAACTACGATATCAAAAATGTGGTATTATCCATGCCTCTAGAGCTGGCTCTGATGGTACTAAGTGGTATGATCACGGAGGTAGATTTTCCGTAGTTGGATGTAAATGAGATGTGTCAATCAGATTTCAGTACTATTCATTATGTATTTGACGTGATGTACTTTGTTCCTCAGTTGTCTCATAGCAATTACAACATGATACCCACAAGACGTGAGTTATTCGTAGGAAATTGAATAACATACCAGAAAAAAAAACAATTTAGGGAGGAAAGATACTTCATCTTACGTTAAGGTCATACCTTAAAAAAACATATCTTTGGAACATTTATTTCTTCTTATGATGATAAGACCCTACATATATTCTTAATATTTCAAGCATAATCAACGTATCTAAACTTCATCACCAAAGATCGTACATAATTCGAAATTGGTGGGAAGCTCGTTGTAACTCGTTACTATTCAACATAAGACAAAAATATAAGATCATAGAGTTATGTGTACAGCTATGTTACGTATAGTATAAATTCATCCATACATCCGCGGACTAGATAGCTCTATACACTCTTATTCCTATGATTAATCAATATCGACCTCAGGTTTGCCGAGATGTAGGCGTGGTTCATTTGTACGGAAAGATGGACGTCCATCAATCGCTGCAGGTACTTGCGCATTGTAATTACCTGTTGATGATATATAGCCAGAAAGAAAACAACTCCGTCACAATCAAACTTTAAGAATCATATTATAAGTCCATATGATAACCTTTATAAATTTGGTTATTATTATTATTATTTTTTTAGAGATTCTTGTTTTGGAGGCAGAAGATCGTGTTTAGCAGCGGTTCGGATTGTCCAACTGTTGCAGGAGTATCGGCCTCGACAAGTGCTTCCCGACTAGTACAAGTGGTGGAGGCCGCTCCCGATGACGAATCGTTCCGTTTCAAGATAACTTGGCCTAGGATTCCACCGTCGGCATCCCAAGAACGATTCAACAGAACCCCTGAATTGATGTACTCGTAAACGGGTCGCATTCGTCTTCCGACGAGATCCGGAGACGTCCCCCAACGTTAAAACGATGGATGACAGGTTGAAACAAGATGTTACTGCGAAAAGTGATGGTTTGGTGTTGATGGATAACGCTAAACGTTTAAGGGCGGTTTGCTTTAACTGTAAAGGGATGAGTGAAAATTATACTACATCAAAACGAATATAAATAACTTAAATTAAATTATAAACGAATATAAATAAGTAAAATCAACGTTAATAATAAAAAAATCGATGTTTTAATCTGATGTATTATATATATTAAGAAAAAATAAGTAACTTTTTTTAAATGGCTGTGTTTACTCAAAAATAAAGATACCAAAATAAATCCAAATTTTGTGTTATTACTCATTAGGGTGATACAAACAAATTTAATAAGAAAATTTTAGCAATATTACGATCCACGTGTTTCGAATGAAACCCCAATTTCTTTCATAATTGAGTACCTAAGAAATCGCCAAGTTTTGCACTAACCCGATGGGTATTATTTCTTCAGTGATTGACGGTTTGTGTTCTTCCTCTTGATGAGGGTGTGTTACTCAAAAAATAACAGAAATGATTTAATGAAAAACTCGTGGCCAAATTTAAGCTTATAACTGAGTTAATTTACGAAAGAATTAATTTAATTCGGCGTTTATATCTATTTCTATAGTGGTGTAAAAGATTCAAAAAATTGGGACCAAATTGGAACCAAATTACGTAAATATGTTATTACTAGTAATAAATAGTATTATTTTTCCGGATCATGCTAATATTATTCATACACATAACTAAAGATGACATCAGCATTAAGACTGATTGAAATGGACGAGCTGTGTTTGAGACAATCTGCAAAGAAATCGGTATTGCAAGTTCTGCTTTTTGTCGAGTATTGCATTCATGCATCTCTTCATTCTTATCAATATTTTGCCGCATATGTGTAATACAATTTAGGACATGTAGTGTGTTATAGTATATTGTGTATCAAGGGCAGAAAATAAGCATTAGCAGCCCGAGGCTATTAGATAAGGGCTGCTAATGCATTTCTGTACGTGTGACACACAACTGTTTTTCGCCTCCCATTAAACCAAACAAAATTGCAAAAATATAAAATAAAACTAATTTTATAAATCAATTAAGCAGTTTTGATTTCAACTGACGTTTAATGAAAAATTATGAGACGCGTCAAAAATGTCTGCAAATGTCAATGAAGACTAACTAGATTGTGATGAATAACTATAAAGTAGGGACGTTCAGAGTTTAGAATCCCAAGGGCCGAAAATCTAACTTTCAGTTATTTTTTTAAGGCTGATATGATTTACTTTCAGGTATGGGAGGCGAAAAATTAATTATCGTACCCGACGTTATCATTGCAAGTATGCAACCAATATCACAGTGCAATACGCATCGTACGTAAATCGCGTATTGCATTAAAAATACTGTGAAATTGGTTGCATACTTGCAATGATGACGTTGGGTACGATAAATAATTAACACACTGTATACTGAATATAGGGTAAGTATATTTAAAATGTTGTTTACAACTTTGATTAGATTTAACGTTGCATAGCACCCTTAGTGCCTTGTTTTGAAGAAAGAAAAGAGAGAACTAGAAGCATTCGGGTTTAGCCGCACGTCTCTCAAGACGGCTAAACCCGAATGATTCTAGTTCTAGGTCTTGTGTTAGTTTTAGTGATAGTGCTAGTCTAAAACTAGAACTAACACTAGAGCTAGAACTAGAAATATTCGAGTTTACCCGTGCGTCTGCAGACTTTTCTAAGTTCTTGTTTAAGACGCCCGGCTAAACCTAAAACTTTCTAGTTCTAGGTCTGGTGTCAATTCTAGTTAATCTATAAATTTTTTTTTTTTTGATTTAATCCACTTACCTTGCTTATAATTTCATCAATTTACCCATTTTGAATTCAATACAACCTTTCAATCCCATTAATTATGTGTTTTTCATTAAAAAAACTTAAATTCAACGCCAATTTTGACAAGCACCTGCAATATTTGGATCTTAATCACCATGGTAACCGAGTCAAGTTGGATAACCTTAAAATAATAAAATTTGATTTCGATTTTTTATCAATTCTAACCTAATTTTTATTAATTTTAAAACAATTCGAATTCTTTACGATTATCTCGCATTCCTAACAAATTCATTAATTGTAATTAATTTAAATCGATTCTAATTAAGACAAATAAATTAAAAATATCTTTTTTTGATTTAATCCACTTTCCTTGTTTATAATTCCCTAGATAAACCAATTTTGAGTTAAATACAGCCTTTTAAACCAATTAAATAAGACTTTTTCCTTAAAAAAACTTAAATTCAATTTTGATTTTGACAAGCACCTGCAATATTTGGATCTTAATCACCATGGTAACCGAGTCAAGTTGGATAACCTAACAATAATAAAATTACAACCGTTAATATTTCGCTTTATATTTTAATAACATTGTATAAATAAAAGCATAGAAATGTGAATTCTTCCAATGACGTCACAGCAAGGCTTTTACGGGGGTAACGTTCATAACAACAGACTTCTTGGAGTTGGATAACCTTATATAGTGGACCTTGCTATGTATCAAGAGACAACAAAGATATGACAAAAATTTAGGCATTTTGGAACAAAAATCTAAAAAAAAATTCGGTCCTTAAGTGGTTATTACTCATTTTCTAAACGAATGTTTCATTTAGATAAGGATTACCGTTTAAAACGTTTGCGATAAGATAAAAACCTGGAAATACACTCTCCAGGTTAAATTCCTACTTTTACATACTAGGAAATTGGATTTGTAGCACAGCGACCTCTCACGTTCCATAGCAAAATCACCCCACCACTCGCTCCATCCTTCTTTATCACATTATTACATCGATTTATCTCTCTTTGTTTTTACGTGCTCACAATGCGTCAAGCATTAGTCAGTTAACTAGTAAATTCGTGAATACACGAAGTGTTTTTATCACTTCGGCTCCAAATTTCGTTTTCCTTTAAAGAAAATTAGCGAAAATGGCTGTTGGTGAAGTGGAAAAATCAGATTCGACGCCGGTAAGTTTGTTTTAACCTCGTTTAAGTGATAATTTTGATGGAATATTCCGATTTAGCCCAGGGCGTTGTCACTGTTTGTTTATTGTTGTTTAATTATTTTTTCTTTTTTAGGTGGAAAACGATCCTCGCCAGTTAAAATTGTCGGGGCATGTTGGTTTCGATAGTCTTCCAGATCAATTAGTCTCAAAAAGTGTTCAAAATGGGTTTAATTTTAACATCATGTGTATTGGTATATCTAATCTTAACTTTGTTATGAAAAAAATAATATTTTTTAATTGTATTTTAGGTGAAACTGGTTTAGGGAAATCCACTTTAATGGATTCTTTGTTTAACACAAATTTTGAAGCATCTCCAAGTCCACATTCTTTACCAACTGTTAAACTAAAAGCTCACACTTATGAACTTCAAGAAAGTAATGTTAGATTAAAGCTAACCATTGTTGATACTGTTGGTTATGGGGATCAAATTAACAAAGAAGATAGCTTTAAAGCTATTGTGGATTATATTGATGCTCAATTTGAGAATTATTTACAAGAAGAGCTAAAAATAAAGCGCTCGTTATCAACTTATCATGATTCTCGCATTCATGCTTGCTTATATTTTATTTGCCCCACTGGGCATGGTTTAAAATCAATCGATTTGGTTTGTATGAAAATGCTTGACCAAAAAGTTAACATAATTCCGATTATCGCCAAAGCTGATACGATCTCAAAGAATGAATTACAAAAATTTAAATCAAAAATTATTACTGAACTTCAAACCAATGGTGTTCAAATTTATGAGTTCCCTGTTGATGACGAATCCGTTTCAGAAATAAACACCGGGATGAACACTCACATCCCATTTGCTGTAGTTGGTAGTACTGATTTTGTGAGGGTGGGTAATAAAATGGCAAGAGCCAGACAATATCCTTGGGGTACAGTTCAAGTCGAAAACGAAAGTCACTGTGATTTCGTAAAATTACGCGAAATGTTAATTCGCACTAACATGGAAGATATGCGCGAAAAAACCCATTGCACTCATTACGAATTATTTAGAAAAAGACGTTTGGAGCAAATGGGATTTAGTGATGTTGATGCAGACAATAAACCCATTAGCTTCCAGCAAACATTTGAAACAAAACGCTCGAATCATCTGCAAGAATTGCAACAAAAAGAAGATGAGATGAGACAAATGTTTGTTGTACGCGTCAAAGAAAAAGAGGCGGAGTTAAAGGAAGCGGAAAAAGAACTTCACGCAAAATTCGATAAATTAAAAAAGGATCACACGGAGGAAAAGAAAAAACTAGAAGATTCTAGGAAGAAAATGGAAGATGAAATTATTGAGTTTCAACGAAGGAAGCAACAATATGCTCAAATGGGGTCTTCTCATCATACACTTACTTTAGGGAAAAGCAAGAAGAAATAAAAAAATTAATTCAAAATATGATACCAAAGTTGATTGGAAAATATTGGATTTAAAGTGAAATCATTTTTTGGATATTTTCTTTTTTTATTTATTGTTGCATTTTAGATCTTCTATTTTTTAAGAGTTTCAATTCATTCGCAAAATATTGCTATTAATATTAGTGTATTTCATAAACTTTATAAAAACGTACAATATTAGGAATATTATAAAAAAAAATGAATCTTGATAATAAAGTATAAGTGTAAAGCTATTATTTTATTTAATATCTATGTATTATATATTTTGAATTAAATTTTTATATCCTGATCCTACAATAACATAAAATCCTTGTAAAATTTGCCAAATTTGATTAATCCTTTGTGCCCCAAAAAGTCAAAAATTTGGAAACTTTGTGACAGAATTGAAACGCTATCAAAATACACTCATTCCAGGAGGATAATGGTACTTGAGAGTACCATCAGACATTAAAATATATTTTAGTGATGTTGCAGTAAACAAAAACTTTTATTGCCAATATAAAAATAATACATTTTTTATTACGTTAGAAAATAAATAACACTTGCTTTAGCTAAATCACATTATGATATTTAGAAAAACAGATTCTTTCATTACAACATAAATAAACATTGCACGCAGTACATTTTGAGTAAGGTCTACCTTTGGCAGAACAATTTTCACAACTTCTTTCTTTTGAACTTGCGCTACGACATTTTCGTGGATGCAGTAAATTTGAATATTTATTTATCAGACCTGTAGCTACAGAACGACGAAAATCTGATAGAATATTGAGAAAAAACATATTGAGCAAAAACTAACATTTTCGCATCTCTTATCAATCTAAGTGTCAAAAAAGATGCTAATTCAAAAATTCCTGGAAGCCGTGTTTATTGAAATTAAGAAATGAAACTTATTTTAAAATGGAGCTTAAAGTTTTCTGTTTAAATCGATGTGTAATAATCGTTGGGTTGAGTATTGAGTTAAAACTAACATTTTCGTATAACCTAAAAATGTCAAAAAAGATGCTAATTTAAAAATTCCTGGATGGCGTATTTATTGAAATTAAGAAATGAGACTTATTCTAAATTAAAGCTCAATGCTTTCTCTTTAAAATGATGTATAATAATGGTTATGTTGGATCATAAAAATGTGTAGAAAAAAAATGTTGAAATTAAACTTACATTTTGGTATAACCTAAAAGTGTCAAAAAAGATGCTAATTTAAAAATTTCTGGAAGCTGTGTTTATTGAAATTAAGGAATGAAGTTTATTCTAAATTAAAGCTCAAATCTTTCTCTTTAAAATGTTGCATAATAATTGTTGGGTTGGATTGGAAAAATATTGAGAAAAGAAATGTTGAAATAAAACTTACATTTTTGTATAACCTAAAAGTGTCAAAAAAGATGCTAATTTGAAAATTTCTGGAAGCCGTGTTTATTAAAATTAAAGAATGAGACTTATTTTAAATTAAAGCTCAATGCTTTCTTTTTAAAATGAATTAAAATTACTGTTTAAAACTACCTGTACTTTAAAGTACCGTCGGGAGACAAAGGGTTAAATGATTCAAATTATCAACCTTTTATATAAACGATTGAATTTGATATAATTTTTAGGAGCTTTTGAGAAACTCTACTCTATTTTTTAATTCAGAGGAGTATTTTCAAAGTGATGCGCCAAAAAGGGGTTGCTTTCTAATACTCAATAAAACTTAAAAGTCCAGTAACAATGCGTAGAACTATTGTAGTTGTAACATATTTTATGATACCATTCCATGTATTCCATAAAGCTTCTCCAACATCAACTGATAGCTGAATATTTTCTACCCCCATAAAAGAATAGATGAGATATATTCTGATCCTGTGGGATATCCCTGAATAATCTCGCACCTGAAACATATACATACATCCATGTCCAAAGATGAAGACTCATTAAGTTTTTGTGATTAAAGGTTCTTTTTTTTTGATAATAATCTTTATTGAATGCATAAATACAAAGAACTTAAGATTAAAACATACTGCCAGTGGCAAAATAAGTGTCCGATTTCACGAAACCTACCAACGTTGAGAAATATAAGTTACAATTTTGTGTTCCATCAAATGATACGTCAAAATTGACATTTGTATGTTGTCAAAAAGTGTTAACGCATTATTATTAAAAAAATCTTACTATTTGTAAAACTACCAGTGTGGCAACGTAATGAAATCGTTTTAATGCTAGCTTTGTAATGCTAGTATTACACATAACCATTTTACTTACCATTTATTAAAGCTTTCTGTTCATAGCCACCTTCCTCCAGTTTCTGGACTCAAGCATCATGGCGTCGTTGTTCATATCGTCTTCCAATCTTGCTCTCGACCGTCCCCTAAATCTGGCTCCTTGCATTCTCCTGTTAAGCAGTTACTTCGGTATCTTTTCCTCCTTCATCCTGACCGCATGTCCTTTGCAATCTCTGGATCTTAATGTACTCTAAAAACATTAGCTTCTTGTAACTTTATATTATTGAATAGTAAGCTGTTTTCGCCACCAGTATTCTTCTGCCCTTGTCTCCTGGCTACCCTTGGAACTCCATCTATCAAATGCTTTAGAATAATCAAGCAAGCAAAGTAGTGCAACACCGGTAAGATGCTGATCGGTCGCTGGTCAGCATAGGAATCACCTTTGATTTTTTCCAAACATTTCAGAAATTGACAGTTTAATAAGTAGGAATTGACAATACCTTTTATTTGAGGAATTACATGTGAGCAACAATAATTCATCATTTTAATGTTTAAGCCACCTGCAGTATTGCTTCTTATTTCTTTTGTAATAACATTCTTGATACAATAATCATACAAGTCAATCTCAATGGGTGATTTGATTCGCTTCAGCTAGATGCTTAGGAATGCTGCCAGCTACACGAGTTATAACTCCACATTTTTTCAACCCAACCCAAGAATTTGTTTGGGATTGTTTACTTAATTATAATATTGCCATGATTTGTCTGTTTTTAGTACCTACTCTAAATGTTGTCTTCAAGTGGGATATGACACCCATGCTAGCTATAAAGATGAGACATTTTTCCGGGAAGTCGTAAGAACACGAGAATGACAACTGTATTTCTGGGAGAAATACCTAAATTTGCACTAGGAAAAGGATTGAATTGGGATGAAATAATGATTCTCAAAGCTTTATTATATAGGTTTGTTGCAAAACAATAATTTTATTCCTATCATTTGTACATAACAATAATTTATTTATTTTATTAATAAAATTATTCGAAATCAATGTCTTCATTTATCCGAATCGAATAAGGAACATTATAAATAGCGGTTACGGGAGGTTTTCCAAATAATTCTTTAACCATATTATGTCGGTATTTTAACCATTTTCTTTGTGTAATAAATTCTTTAAACACTTTCTCCGTGGATGGAATTTGCGTTTCAAGATACAATTTAATCCTGGTCCATAAATTTCCTATGTTATGTTGTAATAACCAATACCTTGGAACTAATAAGCATTCAACGTGATCAGTCATCGCAACAACTCGTCTTCGGCGAAAATTTTCACCAATTCCAAAACATGCGGTTTCAGTAAAAATACAAACCTTTCAAAAATTTATGAAAAAAAAAACTAATTGTGGGTGTAATTAATTTTTTTACCTGCATAAAATGTGTTTCGACGTCTTTAGGAAGATGAAAGGATGGTTCAGGTTCCGTTATTTCTTCAACAACCACTTTACTTATTTTCTTCTTTTTCTTCATTTCAGGAACCGCCGAATCAATCGATCTCACTGACTCTTTCTTGCTCATTTCACTTGCTTTTTTGATATTCTCGCCAATTTTAAATGATTTTATTGATTTCACAGCTAAGCTGCTCATAGTAGATTTACTTTTCCTGGTATCATCAGGATGCATTTGTCTTATAACTGAACTTTTGTGTCTATACAAAAATTAGATGTTAAATTTTATTTTTTATAAAACATTTTTTTGGTTACTCATGTAATGAAGTGGTCGAAGTCTTTTTCTCATCCAAAATCGTTTTCCTCATCATCGCCAATGGACTTTCTTTTTTCTCAATCACTTCCGGCTCTTTAAACATTTCGTAACGTTTCTTTCCGGCGGAATCATAAACGGTTCTGATCAACAAATGTTCGACCAAGCGACATTTTCCTTTTAAAACGAAGTACGCCGAAGTACTTACACCTTCATTATCGCCCAAAATTGTTTGATCTCTTACGTACGGTTTTATTTTCGAATAAATACAACATTCCCTAACCGCGACTTCATCCCAATCTTGAAAATAAGTAAACTGCATCATTGCGTTTTGTATTTCATCCCATTGTTTTTTCACTGAATCTTTTAATACGATATCGAAATCGGGTTTTTTTAAAACGAGGAATTCACATGGTGCTGAAATCATTTTTTAATTCGATTTTATTAAGGTTTGGTCGATAAATTTTATATTTAGATTTTTTTTTGCGTACCAACTGTAGTTATTGTGGCTGTTCTTGGGATATCATGCAAAAGAGAAACTTCTCCAAACATACTTCCCGCAATCATGGATCCTATAACTGCTGTTACGTATTCTTTTGTAACGGGATCTGCTGTTGTAACAGAAACATCTACTTCACCAGTTATTATAAAATATAAAGCGTGAGCATCGTGGTTTTGTTTAACAATAACTCTGTTTGGACCATAATACATAAAATAAGTCACAGAAGCTAATTGCAACTTTACGTGCTAAAATTAAATAAGAATCACTAAAAAAGAATCTCAAAAACACTTTTCTCACTTCAGGATATTTTCGAAAACATTTTAACCCCCCAATAATTTTATACAACAATAATTTTTCATCTTCCGTGCGATCTTCAGCTGGTTTACACAAAATTCCTTTTTGCTAGTACAAAAAAAAACGTAATTAAAACATTTCAATATTCCAAAACCACAAAATATTTACATCTAACGTTAATAATCCCTTCTTATCTTTCCTCTTTGTGAGTAATTGAACATTTCTTTGCACATTTCTACTTAATTGTTGATCTTCAACATCACACAACCACTCCAGGTTATTAATTACCATATTTACCAAAGCTCGAAATCTTCTTCTGGCTCTTATTGCTTTCGTAACAAGATCTTCCATTTTGATATTGTTTATAAAATATTATTTATCGTTAAAAGAAAGTGATAAGTCAAAAAATACGAGAAAATGACGAAAATGATTAATGAAAGATTCATTCATCAATCAAAAATGAATACTTTTTCTTACTAATTTTTTTGTATGATTACAATTTAAATAAATTATTTAAAAATTAAATAAAATTTTTTGAGTTTGTGAAAAATCGCGCGTAAATTCAAAATTATTTTATATTAAATTATATTTATATTTCTAATTTATCTATTTACTATATTTATTATATTACATTGTATTTAGCACTATTTAAATTAATTAAAAATATTAAATTAAAAATAAATTTAGTGATTTTAAGATTTAAAAGTTGGCTACACTGCTATTAATTTTGTTGCAAAGTTCGTGACGTATCACGAGTCCTTCATTTTTCGTTCCAAAATGGTGAGTGCATCTTAAACATTTTTCCTCGTTTATCTTGGTCATCTTAATAGTTAGGTGTTTAAAATTAGTTTTATTCAAATCAGCGTTGTTTAGTTATTAATGTTGAGTTAAAACGGTGGGATAAAACCCAAATATTTTTTAATTTACTAAATGTTGTTAATTTTTGGTTATGTTTACTTCCACATGTAAAAAAATTTCTTGTTTTCTTTTAGTCTACACATAGGAAGAAGACGAGGAAGCTAAGAGGACACGTCAGTCATGGACATGGACGTATCGGTGAGTTCAAATCAATTTTATTGGATAATTTATGATTAGTTGAGGTTATGTTTCAAAATGATGATTTAGCGTACGGGCGGACTGAATCCTTCTTGAGGAGTGTACCTTTCTGATTTTAAACTGAACCAAAAAACCTTCCTATAACGATTTTATTGATTTTATTATTTAATTTGTATTTTTGATTTTTTTAAGGTAAACATCGTAAGCATCCTGGTGGTCGTGGTAATGCTGGTGGTATGCACCACCATAGGATCAACTTTGACAAATACCATCCTGGTTACTTTGGAAAACTTGGCATGAGAAATTACCATTTAAGAAAGAATTCTAAATGGTGCCCCTCAATCAATTTGGACAAACTTTGGACGCTTGTTAGTGATCAAACCAGGTTGAAATACAAAGACAATGCTGAAGGAAAAGCCCCAGTTATTGATATTGTCAAAGCTGTAAGATTTTTTGATTAATAACTAAAAATATTTAACAATTAAGTGATGAAATGCTCACGGGCGGTCAGACTTCCTTATTTTTTATTGGTGATCGTGATTTTTCTGATTTAAACTAATTAAATTGTTTATAAATTTACTTTTGATTACAAAAAGATTAATTTGTTTCTTTTTTTTTAGGGTTATTATAAATTATTAGGCAAAGGAAGAATTCCAAATCAGCCTGTCATTGTTAAGGCCAAATTCTTCTCAAAGTCAGCAGAAGATAAAATTAAAGCTGTTGGTGGAGCTTGTATATTAACAGCTTAAGTTGTAATAAAGTTATTATAAAAAGAATTTTTTTTTTTTCATTAACATAACCTCAAAATATAAAATATAACCTACCTTTATTCTTACTTAATTTTTTTGAGTTTCATGTTAAACTTTGTAATCTTGTTTAATACATACTTAATCGCCATATCAAATTATTTGTTTAAAAAAAAAATCAAAAACTTAATTCAAAATAATACAATAAATATTAGAAGATAGGCAACCCAAATCTTTTTAATTTGACATTAAAATAACCTTAATTACCGTTTCAGGGTCACGTTGTTTTACCTAATTTCTTTTTAAGCTTGTTTAATACATACTCAAATGCCATATTAAATTATTTATTTAAAAAATGATCAAAAACTTCATTCTACCCTTATTCTACTCATATAAATATTAGAAAGTAGGCAACCCAAATTGCTCTAATTTTTAATTTGACATTAAAACAACCTTAATTATTTGTAATTACAAAAAAACCAATTCATTTTAAAAGAAAATTCTTTATTTCTCCAGTATATTATTAACTCTACAATAAAACAATTTATTTCATTGTGGTGGAGGTGGAACTGGTAATACAGCCCCCATAAGAGGAGGTGGTGGAGGAATAGGATTAAACATAGGGGGTCTTGGAGGTGGTGGAACGGGTAACATAGGAGGTGCAGGAACCCCAGCAATAATATTCGTTCTTGCTATAATAGCACCAGGTTTTTTAGCTTCATTCTTAAACGCAAATTGCAAAAAGAACTGTTTTGTATCCCTGTTCCAATGAGTCCAAAACTTGCTATCGGTTTTTTCAACTTCTCTACTAGGTACTTTAAAAGCAATGGTTTCGTATGGTTCAGCAGCAAAAAGTAAATATTGCCACTTTCTATCTGGGGGCTCAATTTTTTGTTCATAAGCAGACATAAAACGATGTCTTGGATAAATATTATCAGCAATTTCTGGGTAATCTATTTGAAATAAAAGACTTTGTTGGCCAGTTTCAGGGTCGCGTTGTTTGGTAACTCTATATCCGGGTCTTCCAATTTTAACAAACTTTTTCGGCTCAACTCTCGGTTTTTCCGGTGCTAACAAAGTAGGGGCATCCTTAGCTTCTTTTGCAGCTCTTCTAGCTAAATTTGCTTGATGCTTTTTTCCTTGGGTATGGGCCAAATAACTTCCTTCGTTATTATGTAGAGTTAAACACAGCTTACATTCATAAGAACCAAGATGATTTTTCATAAAATAGGGGTCCTTTTGAAGATCTATAGTTTCTAAGGCTAATTGTCTTAACCTTTCTCGGCGATCTCTATTACTTTCAGACCATGATGCGACACCACCACCCCCGGTTTTACCACCGGGTCGGTTTTGAAAATCCATTTTAAACTAATTTTTTTGAGAAAATTAACCTTACTTAATGCGTGCTTTTGACAGTTTAATTTAATTTGATGTTTGGGGTACGTTCATGAATTTGGATTTAATTTATTTTGATAATTAATGATTAAATTTAATCGGTAATAAAACTAAAACAAAAAGATGTTAAAATAAACCTTATTTTATGTAAATTTTGAAATAATTTATTAATTTATTTATATAGTTTTTTAAATTATGAAATTTTTGACAGGTGACATTTAACTTAACCTCAACTTAATTAATCAAGTTTAAAACCGTTCTTACTTTTCAATGAATTATCTAATTAACGCGATAAAATTAATTGATTTCCGTGGTAGTTACACTTCGCTGAATTAAGTAGCACCTATTTTTTAAAATAAAATCAATAAATCACCGACCCAGTGTACAGAATATGGTGATTTAGGTTTTGATAGATTATCAAGTACAAAATTTGATTAGATAAAAAGCTTCAAATCAATCTTCTTGTGAACGTACCTGAAAATGCAAGCTAAAGAAGTTAATGAAAACGATTTAGAAGATTTGAAAAGTCGTATGAAATTGATTTCGGAAGCTGATCCGAGTCAGTATCATAACGTTTTTTCATTGAGGAGATATTTGCGAGCTTTTAAAACACCGGATGAAGCTTTTAGGGTAAATTTGCGGGTTTAAATTGTTTGTGTTTTTATTTTGATGTGTTTTAGGCTATGTTAAAAACTAATAAGTGGAGGATTGAGTATGGAATTCAAGAATTGGATTGTAACCACCCTTTAGTCATCAAGTTTTTAGAAGCTAAAAAAGCTAGGGTTCTTAAACACAGGGATATGCAAGGGCGTCCTGTTATTTATATTCCTGCTAAATATCATAATGTTAATGATAGAGATGTTGATGAATTAACAAAATTTATTGTTTATTGTTTGGTGAGGATTATTTCTTTGGTTAATTTATAAATTTGATTTTTTGTTTGATAGGAAGAAGGTTGTAAAAAATGTTTTGAAGAAGTAATAGATAATTTATGCATTGTTTTTGATTTAAAAGATTTTGGTTTAAACTGTATGGATTACCAAGTTTTAAAAAATTTGATTTGGTTGTTGAGTAAACATTACCCTGAAAGATTGGGAGTCTGTTTGATTATAAATGCTCCTGCTTTATTCTCAGGATGTTGGGCTATCATAAAGGGATGGTAAAAATTAATTACTTAGAATAAAATATAATCTTATTTATTTTATTTCTTATTGCAGGCTTGATGAGAACACAGCAAGTAAAGTAACATTTGTAAATTCTGAAGAGGAATTGTGTTCTTATTTAATACCTGATATCTTACCAGAGCTGTGAATTGTCTTTAAGAATTTATTGTATTTTAATTATAACTAAAAAGCTAACTTTTTAATCAGGGTATTGTAAGGAGAATAGACTAGAAGTAGCGTTTAAATTGAATTATCAAATTGTTGTCAATTGTATTCAAAAATATGTGGTTAGAATGAAAACAATTTTAGTGCAATTCTAGACATAGTTTGTTTAGAATGAGAATATATCAAAATGTAGCTTTGTATATGTATAAATGTATAAAAAAAAGGAAATATCTATATATTAAGTAAATTTAATTTGTTATTGTTTAAACATTTTAATCATCCTGTTAAAATCTCTGTGAAAAATAAATATGAAGTCAAACTAACGTATTTTTTTAACTCGCAATAATAACAAATAAATTATGTTTTTAAGTTTGAACATGATTTGAACGGATATGAAATGTTTATCAAAATTAATATTAATATATTGCGCATGGTAATAGAAAAAAATTGATTTTATCTTAAAATTGCACTGTAAGGACAATTATTTTTTTGTTAACATGAAATCATAAAAAAATTACATAACAAAAATGACATAAATAGATTTCTTACCTATAATTAAATCAAAATTACTAAATTGAACCAAATTTTGCATTTTTTTTTGCAAATACAATCAACGTCATTTCGAATATTTAACTTTGCAAATTGTTATCATGTTAAAATAATTTATTTATTTATGAACCCATTTTGTTAAAAAGTATCCACATTAATACAAATTCTCATTTGCCATTTTGACTAGTAGATGCTACAAAATTCGCAATTGCTAAGGAGGAATTCTCTCCATTACACAAGTGAAGATTGGGGTCAAAATTTCAATTTAAATATTCAAGGTTGTAAGATTTTTTCAAAAATTGATTTAGTTCGAGAATATCATCGGATCCCAGTAGGAAAACATGACAATCCTTTGGATTTCAAACTTCTGAAATCACGTGATATATCTTAGCTGCTAACCGACTCACCAAACGAGCTGATGTTGGAGTTTCAATCTATATTTGACCTGTTTGAGGATACAATCCCATAGATTAGAAGATAGCCTACAATTTTGCCATAGTATACAAGATTAAAAGTTATAGGAAAATCATTCGTGATTATTATACAAAGCAGGCTAACCGACAGTATTCAACTAGTGGGCAGGATAGTTAATACTCTAACTACTCTAACTAACTGCGCTTAAGGCGCAACACATAAACTACTATGTTAGCACGATCGTGAGGTTTTACAAGAAAAAAGCTCTTGCTGCTCAATGCTACTGGTGATCAACTCCTCAGTGTCATAAATATGTAGATATCTTGTAGGATACCCAACACAAACAGATATCTGACCTGGGATGTTGGGCTGCCAGATAGTGCTGGTGGCATTTAAGCTCAATCTAAAGACAACAAAATATGATGAATGCAGAGTTTCCTCAACTACTTAGTGAGTGAGAGGGAGAGAAAGGGAGAAATGCCTGCTGATCAGACAGTGATTAATGAGTTATTTGGAAATTAACATTTCTATGGTTTTATTTATACAGTTTATTTCACTTAAGAAGCAATACACAAAAATATAAAAATATTTAAAAAAACAGATCTAAAATAGAAAAAAATTAAAATATAAAGCGAAATATTAACGGTTAAAATTTTATTATTTTTAGGTTATCCAACTTGACTCGGTTACCATGGTGATTAAGATCCAAATATTGCAGATGCTTGTCAAAATCAAAATTGAATTTAAGTTTTTTTAAGGAAAAAGTCTTATTTAATTGGTTTAAAAGGCTGTATTTAACTCAAAATTGGTTTATCTAAGGAATTACATATAAACAAGGTAAGTGGATTAAATCAAAAAAAGATATTTTTAATTTATTTCTCTTAATTAGAATCGATTTAAATTAATTACAATTAACGAATTTGTTATGAATACGAGATATCGTATTATAACGTAAAGAATTCGAATAGTTTTAAAATTAATTAAAATTAGAATTGATAAAAAAATTGGAATAAAATTTTATTATTTTAAGGTTATCCAACTTGACTCGGTTACCATGGTGATTAAGATCCAAATATTGCAGTTGCTTGTCAAAATTGATGTTGAATTTAAGTTTTTTAGTGAAAAACACATAATTAATTGGCCTTAAAGGTTGTATTTAACTCAAAACGGGTAAATTGATGAAATTATAAGCAAGGTAAGTGGATTAAATCAAAAAAAAAATTTTTTTTAGGTTAATTAAAATGTATAAGAATTTAGGGTTAAATAACAACTAGACCTAGAACTAGAAAGTTTTAAGTTTAGCTGAGCGTCTTAGACAAGGACTTAGAGGAGTCTGAAGACGCACGGGTAAACACGAATATTCTAGTATTAGTTTTACACTAGCACTATCAAAATACAATCACTTCCGGTTTGAAACGTCAACGTCAATTTTGTCATATTTGTCATCTTCATTAAAAAACCTTTAAAATTAGTACAAAGATGACGCACTTATCTTACTTATAATATTGAAGATAATATAGATAGATAATATGTATATATAAATAGATATATGTCGTGTTTGTACTCATTTTAAAGGATTTTTCACGAAAATTACAAATATGTCAAAATTAACGTTGACATTTTTAACCGGAAGTTGACCATAACTTCATTAATATTGAAGATAAATATGTCGTGTTCGACTCATTTTAAAGGATTTTTAATGAAGATTACAAATATGTCAAAATTGAGGTTGATATTTTAAATCTGAAATTAGTTATCATATAATAGACAGATGGACAACTTCATGGTGTTCTATTATGATGTATTCTTTATTAAAAAAAAAACATTAAAATGAGTCCAAACATGATGTTGCTAGATATCACTATGTTGTATATTTTTATGACACTAAAAGTAGAACTTTCTAGTTCTAGGCCTAGTGTTAGTTCAAGTTTTAATTGTTACTAAGCGTTACATTGTTGTCTATTTTTACTGAAATAGAACTAACATTGGACCTAGAACTAGAATCATGCGGGTTTAACACGTCAATTTTGACATATTTGTCATCTTTAAATTTTATAATAAAAGCTACCTCCTGTCAAAATAACATGCATTACCTTTACGGAATGGTGTGCCTTAATTCGGCAGAAGCAAGGCGGTTGTATCAAGAAAGACATCCTGATCGCCCAGTTCCACACCATAACTTGTTTCTACGCATTCACCAACGACTATTGGAAAAGGGACGTTTTAAAAGGAATACTGCTGATAATGGGCGGCCTATGGAAGTTGCAAATCCCCAAGTAGAAGAGGCTGTCCTCAACGAAATTGATGAAAATCCGACCACAAATACCAGAAAAATTGCTCACAACTTAAACCTATCTCACTCGACGGTCTGAAGAATTTTCAAAAGGCAACTTTTGTATCCCTGCCATATCCAAAGAGTACAAACCTTATTGCCAAGAGATTTTCCGTCAATATTGGCTTTTTGTACATGGATGCAAGACAAAATAGCTCAAATCCTGAGTTTGGAGCCGAAGTTCTGATTACCGATGAAGCATCTTTCTCGAACGATGGTATTTTCAATTTTCACAATAACCACATATGTGCAGAAGAAAATCCACATGAAATTGCAGAAAGTAATCAGCAACAATTTTTCGTAAATGTTTGGGCTGCCATTGTCGGTGATCATTTGATAGGCCCATATTTTGATAGGCGCATATATTATGAAACATCCTGTATAATATGTCATTTCGTTTTAATGTGGATTCAAAAATGTTCATATCATCAGATTCCAGTGGGAAAAGAAGATATTTTTTAACTCAATTCGGTCTCTTCGAGTTCACTAGAATTCCTTTTGGACTCAGAAATGTGGCACAAACTTTCCAACACTTTATTAATGAAGTTACTAGAGGTTTTGATTTTAATTTCGTGTACTTAGATGATATCCTCATTACGAATAAAGATGACATATATTACATTTACAACAGCTTTTGGAAAGACCAAATAGGTACTGTTAAAGAATTACAAAGATTTTTAGGGGTATGATATATTTTTATCACCGTTTCGTGCCCAATTTTTTGCAGACTCTTGATTGTTTGTATATTCTTTCAAACACTAACTGATACTTAACTGGCAGGAAAGTTGATTCTAAGACGATTTTGCGTGGAAATTAATAAAACTTTTCTTATACTGGAATCGGACATGAAACTAAGAGTAATAGTGACTAATCTGATCACTAATCGAGATAGTTCTGTGACATACCTTAGCTGCTACATTAAATAAAACGAGCTGATGTTGCAGTTTCAACCTATATTAGACACAATGCGATAGATTAGATTAAAGCCAACAATTTAGCCATAGTCTACAAGATTCTCTTATTCACGGAAAATGAACTAACAAAGAAAGCTGGATCTCATTAAGAACAGGAAGGCCTACAACTCAACAACTAATTGTTTGAATGAGGGGTTGTTGTATAAGTGGAAGATACAGAAACTATTCTCATCGACAAAAAAGTGTTTTTCTTAAATCGGAAGTTATGATATCCGCTAGATTTGAAGTTGTTACTCAATAACAAAGTCCTACTTATTTCTTATTGTGTTAATATTTGGTATACATGAATTACCATACTTTAAAGGGATACCTCCCATAACATTAATAAATCAAAAGTTTGATTTAACGCTAAATCCATTCTCCAACAACCATTTGACGTGTAATTAATAAAGTTAATAACTTTAAGATTACAAGATGTATATAAATTGGAGTAAACGGGCGTAATCAAATAATTTTTGTCGGAAAAATGTCGGCAAAACATAACTTTTCTTTAGCTTTCTTCGTGATTGCTTGTGCTTTTATCAAAACCGCCCTAAGTTGTGTAAGTAAAAAATTCTAGAAATAAAAAAGATTAAGTATTAAAAAAAATTTAGGGTGGATACTCTTTGGAAGTAAAATCGATAAAGAATTGCGTTGATAATGGAATTCTTCGCGTATCCAACGACTTTACCATCGAATTCGATAAGAAATGCAACGTTATTCCGAAAGGTTGTTACACAATCGCAAAAGATTTCGACCAATTCCTCGTAAGAACTTGATTCATTTTAACATTTGAGTTTATTAACATTTATTTTTACAGTTGAAATTTGCACTTGATAAAGAACCAATAAGAAACGTAAGTGGAGAAATCGACGTTTGCAAATTAGCCGAAAAACCATCCGTTATCACCGGTTGGTTGGGTATGTTAGGACTTCCCAATAAATGTCCAGTTAAAGCGGTAATTCTTTCTTAATTAAATCATATCAAAACCATAAAATAATTATTTTTAGTCCGAGAAATGCTTTAAAGGCGAAAAGAAATTCAATGTGTGGCTTTTAAAAATGTTCCTTGGATTGGTGGTTGGTGACATCAAAATTAAGGTTGAAGGTGAATACGGTAACGGGGATGTTAGCTGTATTGAAGTTGAGGCCGTATTTTCAAGTAAAAAGAATTAATTTCGTTCAATTAATCTAAATATTTAAAATTTGTTTTAACGGTAATAAAATTTTATTAACATTGTAATTTAATTTCTTTCAATCAATTAACAAAGCAATAAAAATCCACCTATACAAATTTATTTTGAATCGTATTACGTTTCTTTTATTACAATGACACTCAACATTAAGCAACATTTAATTTCAATATTCTTATTTTATTCTTTATTAAAAACCTCGTCTGCTTGTGTAAGTTTCTACCAAAAATAATTTGCATTATTAAAAATTAATTTTTCTAGGGTGGTCATACATTAACAGTAAACGCAATAAAATCTTGCGATCAAAATGGTTTGGTTCAAACCACAAACGATTTTACAATCGGTTTAGACGAAGATTGTAACGTTTATATGAAAGGCTGCATTGAATTCAAACCTTATAACACCGCGGACATTCATTTTAACTTTGATCGAAAACCATTTTCGAACGTAACCGGAAACGTAGATTTTTGCGATTTCTTAAAATCGCTTACTTTTCTATCAAACATTTTTGGTTCTTTTGAACTTCCAACGGATTGTCCGATTCCTGCCAAAAAAATCTGTGGGGATCCATCGAACACGTACAACATCTTTATGTTTTCACCATTTTTGGATTTTGTCGCTGGACATACCAAAATGAGATTAGAAGGAAATCACGATACTGGAAAAAGTTGTATGGAATTTGATGTAATTTTAAATTGAAATTATAAAAGTTAAATAATAAAGATTGTTGACATAAAAAGAAAAGAATTTTCCCTTGGTTGTTTATATAGAACTGTTTCGTGAATATTAGAAAGATGAAGGATTCCAAAATTATGGTTTTATCTTAAAATTGGATTTCTAGAACTGAAGGAGATTATATCAGTTGTTTCAAAAATGTTAAAAACACCAGAACATTTTTGCTCCAGATGAATTCCAACTACACTTTGAACAGGATGTCAAGACTAAAGAGGACTTTTGCAAAACGTTCTGGGAGGTACTTAACTTGTAGGAAACTGTATCCTAAGATGACTTTGCTTTAATAAGACTTTTCTTATACTGGAATCGAACGCGTTTTGAAGGTGACACCATGAAAGATCTGATAGATCACTCCAGCTTCCAGGAGATGCCTCAACTTTAAGGTTTATTTACAAGGACCAAGAATGTTACTTTGCAGGATTCAAAACGGTACAAGAAAATATACACCTAATACGAGTCAGAAAAGAGAATCGATACAATTTTCATTATAATACAATCTCATTACAATAAATTTGGTACAAAAGTTAATAACGATTTTTAATTTATATATATAATTTGTGTTACAATTAGCATTAATAGAAAGTTGATAACAGCTTAGAATTTTGTTGACACATTCCACAGATAAGAAGTAATTGTTTGAAAAATATTTCAATAAACATTTTAAAATTCTTTTCTTACTACTTTTTTTTATTGGAGTGGTTTTATTTATTTATGTGACAAGGATACAATTAAAAATCATTGCGAATTAATCAAATAATTCCATCAAAACCTGAAATCACGTTGTCTAAACTAGTGATGGAACGGATAGTGATTTTGCGAAAAGCCATCCCCTTCGGGATATATTGTGACATTATTGCGATATTTGCATAAAAATGGAATTAATAAGAAAGCTGATAAGATATGTCAACTTATCCAAGATACAAAATGAACTTTTTTTATGCTGATAATTGCAAAATTGCAACATCGAAAATTTTATCAAAATTTCAAATATTGTTTTTTCAAAAACTAAAAGTTATTTTTCAAATCGTGTTGATTCATTGGAAAGAGGACACTATTATTAACACTTTGGGAAATTTTCAAACTCATATTCCAAGAAATGGATTTTATACGAAATTTTAAAACTTAATCGGCGAAAATTGCTAAATTTGAAAAAATTGTCGATCATTTCAAAAATTTATTTCTCAAGAACTAAAAGTGATTTTTCAAAACGGCTTTTTGCATTAAAAAGAGGATGCTTTAATTAATAATTGGTGATATTTGAGCAAGGATCCTTCAAGAAATTACTTTTATAGCGAATTTTGAAAGTTATCGATGAAAATTGCAACATCGGAAATTTTATCAAAACTTCAAATATTGTTTTCTCAAAAACTAAAAGTTATTTTTCATATCGTGTTGATTCATTGGAAAGGGGACACTCTTATTAACACTTTGGGATATTTTCAAACTCATATTCCAAGAAATGGATTTTATACGAATTTTTAAAACTTAATCGGCGAAAATTGCAAAATTCGAAAAAATTGTCGATCATTTCAAAAATTTTTTTCTCAAGAACTAAAAGTGATTTTTCAAAACGGCTTTTTGCATTAAAAAGAGGATACTTTAATTAATAATTGGTGATATTTCCACAAGGATCCTTCAAGAAATTAATTTTATAGCGAATTTTGAAAATTATCGATGAAAATTGCAACATCGAAAATTTTATCAAAACTTCAAATATTATTTTCTCAAAAACTAAAAGTTATTTTTCAAATCGTGTTGATTCATTGGAAAGAGGACACCCTTATTAACACTTTGGGAAATTTTCATACTCATATTCTGAGAAATGGATTTTATACGGATTTTTAAAACTTAATCGGCGATAATTGCAAAATTAGAAAAAATTGTAGATAATTTCAAAAATTTATTTCTTAAGAACTAAAAGTGATTTTTCAAAACGGCTTGTGGCATTAAAAAGAGCATACTTTAATTAATAATTGGTGATATTTCCACAAGGATTTTTCAAGAAATGAATTTTATAGCGAATTTTGAAAGTTATCGATGAAAATTGCAAAATCGAAAATTTTATCAAAACTTCAAATATTATTTTCTCAAAAACTAAAAGATATTTTTCAAATCGTGTTGATTCATTGGAAAGAGGACACTGTTATTAACACTTTGGGAAAATTTCAAACTCATATGCCAAGAAATGGATTTTATACGAATTTTTAAAACTTAATCGGCGAAAATTGCAAAATTCGAAAAAATTGTCGATCATTTCAAAAATTTATTTCTCAAGAACTAAAAGTGATTTTTCAAAACGGCTTTTTGCATTAAAAAGAGGATGCTTTAATTAATAATTGGTGATATTTGAGCAAGGATCCTTCAAGAAATGAATTTTATAGCGAATTTTGAAAGTTATCGATGAAAATTGCAACATCGAAAATTTTATCAAAACTTCAAATATTGTTTTCTCAAAAACTAAAAGTTATTTTTCTAATCGTGTTGATTCATTGGAAAGAGGACACTCTTATTAACACTTTGGGATATTTTTAAATTCATATTCCAAGAAATAGATTTTATACGAATTTTTAAAACTTAATCGGCGATAATTGCAAAATTCGAAAAAATTGTGGATTATTTCAAAAATTTATTTCTGAAGAACTAAAAGTGATTTTTCAAAACGGCTTTTTGGATTAAAAAGAGGATACTTTAATTAATAATTGGTGACATTTCCACACGAATCCGTCAGGAAATTAATTTTATAGCGAATTTTGAAAGTTATCGATAAAAATTGCAACATCTAAAATTTTATCAAAACTTCAAATATTGTTTTCTCAAAAACTAAAAGTTATTTTTCAAATCTTGTTGATTCATTAGAAAGAGGACATTCTTATTAACACTTTGGGAAATTTTCAAACTCATATTCCAAGAAATGGATTTTATACGAATTTTTAAAACTTGCAAAATTCGGAAAAATTGTCGATCATTTCAAAAATGTATTTCTCAAGAACTGAAAGTGATTTTTCAAAGCGGCTTTTTGCATTAAAAAGAGGATACTTTAATTAATAATTGGTGATATTTCCACAAGGATCCTGCAAGAAATTAGTTTTATAGCGAATTTTGAAAATTTTCGATGAAAATTGCAACATCGGAAATTTCTTCAAAACTGCAAATATTGTTTTTTCAAAAACTAAAAGTAATTTTTCAAATCGTGTTGATTCATTGGAAAGAGGACACTCTTATTAACACTTTGGGGGTATTTTCAAACTCATATTCCAAGAAATGGATTTTATACGAATTTTTAAAACTTACAAAATTCGAAAAAATTGTCGATCATTTCAAAAATGTATTTCTCAAGAACTGAAAGTGATTTTTTAAAACGGCTTATTTAGCGGATATTTGGTAACTATCCCGTATCCGGTCGGATTTTAAAAAAAAGGCCGGATAGTAAATCCGTTCCACCACTAGTCTAAATTAACTAAATTATAATTAAAGATGAATTTTATTTCTGATTTAATTGAAAAAACTTATTAAGTTATGAATTATAATAAAAAATAAACTTTCACTGAGGNTACGACACTCTTATTAACACTTTGGGAAATTTTCATACTCATATTCCAAGAAATGGATTTTATACGAATTTTTAAAACTTAATCGGGGAAAATTGCAAAATTCGAAAATATGTTGATCATTTCAAACATTTATTTCTCAAGAACTAAAAGTGATTTTTTAAAACGGCTTGATGCATTAAAAAGAAGATACTTTAATTAATAATTGGTGATATTTCCACAAGGATCCTTCAAGAAATTAATTTTATAGCGATGAAAATTGCAACATCGAAAATTTTATAAAAACTTCAAATATTGTTTTCTCAAAAACTAATAGTTATTTTTCAAAACGGGTTGATTCGTTGGAAAGAGGACACTCTTATTAACACTTTGGGAGATTTTCAAACTCATGTTCCAAAAAATGTATTTTATACGAATTTTTAAAACTTGCAGAATTCGAAAAAATTTCAAAAATGTATTTCTCAAGAACTGAAAGTGATTTTTGAAAACGGCTTATTTAGCGGATATTTGGTAACTATCCGGTATCCGGTCGGATTAAAAAAAATGGCCGTATAGGCCGGATACCGGATAGTCGCCGGATATCCGTTCCACCACCAGTCTAAACTAACTAAATTATAATTAAAGATGAATTTTATTTCTAATTTAATCGAAAAAACTTATTAAAGTTATGAATTATAATAAAAAGAAATAACAAACTTTCACTGAGGAAATAAATTGTATTAACCATTTATTCATGGTAATAAAAAACAAATTAGATTCTAAACCGAAAGGAATCTTCCTGAAATTATTAAAAACATATGGTTAATATGATTAGTGATTACATATTATGTTTTAATTTTTTTTGTTCTTTTTTTTAAACAACTTTCCTTCCAGTTTAAAGCAACTTTTTCCCGAATTATGTTTCACATTCATATTGAGACTAAATTTTCCAGAAAATATCGGAAGAAAATCTTTGTATTCTTTAATATTATATTTGAATTCTCCGTTAATGCACATTTCCCCCTACAACAAAGAAACATCATGACTAACTCAAAATCGAATTTAGTCTTTGATTGATTATAATTATTAAATTCGATGAATGCAATTAAATCGTTAAAATAATTAAAAAAAATACCGCTTTAATTGGGCAACTATCAAGTCCTTCCTTTTTTAACAATTCGCACCCATCAAATGTGTCATCGTAAAGTCCGATTCCATCTTGGTTAGCGGAAAATGATGCGTTGAATGTTTTGAAGCCCTTTTTGATTTGTACACAACCTTTGGGGATTATGTTACATTTTTTATCTAAACTTATTGAAACTTTTTCTTTTACTTGTATTACGTTTTCAGAACCGCAATTTTTAAATTTTTTTATGTCTATATCGTAACCACCCTAGAATTAATTAAAAGTGAATGAATTGAATAAAATAAAAGATTCCTTTAACGTACACACGAAAACGTTTCGTAAATACATGATGAAATAATGACTAAGGTAGTGGTGATGTGAAACATTTTTTTCTTGCAAATGAAATATGTAAAACAAAGAGATATAAAAAGTAGATGTTTTACAACTCACTGTTTCCAAGTAATTAAAACAAAACAAAAGGTGTTTTTAAAGTGTTTTTATTTCAAAAATTAATTAAAATTACAAATTGCTTCAATTTTTTTGGCTCAAACGTAGTGAAAAATTATTTTTTGTTTAGTGATAAATCTAACAGGAGACATGTATTTCCAGTGTCGTGCTTCCCGTCTATCTTAAGCTTCATATTTCCTGCTATCAACCCAAGTTGCATTCTATATTTGCTGATACTTAATGTTTTATCTCCATTCACGCAAATTTTTTGCTAAAATTAATCTTTTTAGTCACATTTTTTTTTAGTTAAATACATTTTTACCGCTTTAACAGGACATTTTGTTGGTAAAGCAAAAGCGGAGAGTAACATTCCTACTGTTGGGTTACTCTCCATCAGCTCACAACCATTAAGAGTACCTTCTAAAGGAGCCATTGGTGGTTTCGTAAATGTGTATTTCACCTAAAAATGCAAATAAATTCAAATCTTGATGTCATCAATTATCAACTGTATGCAAATGAGATTACAAAACAATCAGGAAAAACCAATAATAATAAAAAAAAGTACTTCACTTACATTCAACGTTTTAAAAGCTTTTGTGACTCCACATCCTTTAGGGATTAAATTACAATTTTTGTCCAAAGTTACAGAAAATGTTTCGTCTAAACGTATCACGTTGTTTTCACGACAATTTTTAATGCTGTTGACTTTTAAAGCGTACCCATTCTGTGATACAAAAATGAAATGAGAAAAAAATTTATTTAATTAATTATTAACTTACACAGGATAAAGTACTCTTAATAAACAAGCACGAAGTAATTGCAAAAACGCATAAAACATAACGTGAGACCTTCATTTTTGATAAACGATTCTCTATGATGGTCTAACGAACATTGCCGCTTTTTATATACATGCTCAACCACTACCTAACTATAAGTTAGGTATAATTAATGACGCATGATAATAAACGCAGAAAAAAAAATTACTGTTTATTTACTTGTGCGGAAACATATTCTCATCGGAATATATCAGATTCCGAGTACATTTAACAAATTACATAATTGTTGTAATAATAACACAAAACCGCAAAAAAACGTTTATTTTTTTTTATTTCTTTTCATCTTTAATTTGATCTGTTACACATATTCTTTTTTTATAATCGGAAAGCGTAAAAAAATACTAATTATTCGAAAAATTAACCAAAAGGAAGCGGAAATTACCAAAATTATTTTTTTATAAAACATTTTTGGTTAATTTTTGTCTCTTAAAATTAAAATCAACAAATATAAAAAATAAAGCACGCACTAAAAGTTATAATTGTTAATTTATAATTTTTTTTTAATCTTTTTCTTCATAAACAATCTATTTGATATTTGATTAGTCTCTAGTATTATTAAAAATATTAACTCACACGTGTGCGTTAAAAAAAATAAACCTTGATTACATTAAGTTACTTCCTGACTAATTAATAGCTTATTAGAATATTATTTGGGGTTTTACTCGTATCAAAATGCAATTTTTCGATCGAAATTTAATACGGTGTTATATATAATATTAAAGAGAACACTTTTAGCTTTCATTTGAAACAAAAAACATTTGTTTATCTTTACATCTAAGCTCAGCGTGATTTTTCAAAGTTCAAAACTTTTTCTTCGATTAAATCAAAATTGCAACATTTTTGATATGAACATTTTTTGTATCCACAGTAAAAATGAAATGATATATATTATTTTAAAGATCACACCTTTAGCTTTAATTTGATATAAAAAACAATTTCTTATCTTCACATCTAAACCCAGCACGATTATTTAAAGTTGATAGTTTTTTTAGGCTATAATCACGCAACATTTTTGATATGAACAGTTTTTGTACCCACATAAAAAGAAAACGATATATTACATATCATTTTAAAGAGGACACCTTTAGCTTGAATTTGATATAAAAAACAATTTCTTATCTTCAGATCTAAGCCCAGCACGATTATTTAAATTTCATAGCTTCTTAGGCTATAATCAAAACGCAACACTTTTGATATGAAATTTTTTTGAATCCACAGTAAAACCGAAATGATATATCATATATCATTTTAAAGAGGACACCTTTAGCTTCTATTTGATATAAAAAAACAGTTTCTTATCTTCACATCTAAGCCCAGCATGAATAATTAAATTTGGCAGTATTAAAATTATGCGTGATATGTTTTAACAGTTTAACAAACCTTTTATTACCTTTATATATTGACAATTAATAATAACAATATTCACTTGTTTTATATTATATGTAACTACTCATAAAACATTAATGCACTCTTGATTGGGATTGCTTTATGATATAACATTTCAACACTCCCCCTCAAGGCCAATCATAGTTATAACCTTTTCTAATTTTGGTTTTGGTAATGGCTTTGTTAGCACGTCGGCAATCATTTCTTATTGCTTTTTTCCATTCTTTTAAAGCTTCCTTTAAAGAAATTTCTCCAATATTTGCTTCCAAATTTGTATCGTCGTACGTAGTAGTCGTTTTTTTTAACATATTTGTCTTATCTTGGTTTTTAATATTTATTATTTCATCTGGTTCATTTTCTATCTTCAATTTGTAAATTTTTCTAGGTCTACCGTTTTTACCAGTTTTTTCTAATTTAGGTCTGCCTCTTCCTCTTTTCAATTCAATTTCTTTTTCTGTAGTTTCTTTTTCACACTTTTCATTTTGATTTAAGTGTATTCGATCTTGTGGGTTTAATTCTGGATTTGACGGTGTATTTTCTATTTTTTGATTGATTCATCATTTTCCGCTATTAAAGTTGGTTTTTTTAATGTTCCATTTACATACTCCCATGCGTCATTTTTAATTAATATTGCTTCCATTTGCAACTTCCATGTTTCCCAATTATTCTTTTTAAGAGGATCAATTTTAAAACTTGTAGACATTTTTTTTAATTTATTTTAGTTTGTCTTCTTATAAAGGTTTGTTTTTATTACTGTTTTATATCTGGGCCCATAACCTATTAAAATTATGCGTGATATGTTTTAACAGTTTAACAAACCTTTTATTATCTTTATATATTGACAATTAATAATAACAACATTCACTTGTTTTATATTATATGTAACTAAACTACTCATAAAACATTAATGCACTCTTGATTGGGATTAATTTATGATATAACATTTCAACAGGCAGTTTTATTAAGCTATAATCAAAACGCAACATTTTTGATACGAATTTTTTTTTAATCCACAGTAAAAATGAAACGATATATTATATATCATTTTAAAGAGGACACCTTTATCTTTAATTTGATATAAAGAACAATTTCTTATCTTCACATCTAAACCCAACACGATTATTTAAAGTTGATAGTCTTTTTAAGCTATAATCAAAACGCAACATTTTTTATGTGAAAATATTTTGTATCCACATTAAAAACGAAACGATGTATTATATATCATTTTAAAGAGGACACCTTTACCTTTAATATGGTATAAAAAGCAGTTTCTTATCTTCACATCTAAAGCCAGCACGATTATTTAAAGTGGATAGTTTTTTTAGGCTACAATTAAAACGCAACATTTTTGATATGAAATTTTATTGAATACACGGTAAAACGAAATGATATATTATATATCATTTTAAAGAGAACACCTTTAGCTTTAATTTGATATAAAAAACAATTTCTTATCTTCACATCTAAGCCCAGCACGATTATTTAAAGTTAACAGCTTTTTAGGCTGTAATGAAAATGCAACATTTTTCATATGAACATTTTTGAATCCACATGAAAAACGAAACGATATATTATATATCATTTTAAAGAGGACACCTTTAGCTTTAATTTGATATAAAAAACAATTTCTTATCTTCACGTCTAAACCCAGCACGATTATTTAAAGTTAACAGTGTTTTTAGGCTATAATCAAAACGCAACATTTTTGATATGAACATTTTTGAATCCACAGTAAAAACGAAATGATATATTATATATCATTTTAAAGAGGACACCTTTAGCTTTAATTTGATATAAAAAACAGTTTCTTATCTCTACATCTAAACCCAGCATGATTATTTAAATTTGGCAGTTTTTTTAGGCTATAATCAAAACGCCACATTTTTGATATGAATTTTTTTTGAATCCACAATAAAAACGAAACGATATATTATATATCATTTTAAAGAGGACACTATTAGCTTTAATTTGATATAAAAACAATTTCTTATCTTCACATCTAAGCCCAGCACGATTATTTAAAGTTAACAGTGTTTTTAGGCTATAATCAAAGCGCAACATTTTTTATATGAACGATTATTGTATTAAAATCTGGCTAAATCTTTTTTTTAAGATATAAAATTAAACGCTTTTTATATTAAATCGATTTTATTGAATTCTTAAATTAAATATTGCACATTTTCTCCATTTTATTATTATAATTATTAATTACAAACATTTAACAAAATATATACAGATTTAAAAACATCAAACTTAATTATTATTGGGTTGGGTTTGAGGAGGTTTTAATAAGATATCACGAAAAATTTAATAATAATACAAACTTATTATTGTACTGATTTAATCCTCTTTAACCACTTTAATTTTCGGAGTATTTATCCTTCGAGGACTTTCAGGTCTTCTCACCGTCCTTTTTTTATTTCCTCTCGAACCATTCGGATGCGCATGATAATTAACAGGCGTAACCACTTTTTGTGTATCAACTTGTCCTTTTTCGTTCAACGTTCCAGAAATTTCAGTCGGAGATTGATACTCAGCTTGACCACTTGGATAATCTTGTTTACCACCATTATAATTCACTTGAACTCCTTGATAATCCTGATTATCTTGATAATTTTGTTGACTACTTTGATAATCTTGTTGATTTCCTTGATAATCTTGATAATCTTGTTGACCACCTTGATAATCTTGCTGATTTCCTTGATAATCTTGCTGATTTCCTTGATAATCTTGTTGATCTTGTTGAATCGTCTGATAATTATTTTTTCCACCTCTAATATTTTGCAAAATCGTTTGAATATCCGGTTTATAATAATAATATCCTTGATCATCTTGATTTTGCTTCAAAGAATAATCTTGATTAGCTGGTAATTGGGAGTAATCGTAATCGTCGTAATCTTGAGCTTTTTGTTGTTGATTATGTATCTCAAATGAACTATAACTTTGGGGTTGTTGGTATTTGGAAGATTTTAATGGTAAAGCTTGTGGTTGTTGAACATCTTTTCCACTAATTTTATTTGTATGGAAAACGACTCTAGTATGCGCATCCGATGGATAATTTTCGTGAGTAATCAACCCATCATAATCTAATTGTTGATTATATTGATATTGTTGAACATTATCTTGATATTGTTGATGATATTGATTTGGTTGATTCAAATAATAATCTTGACCTTGATTTTGTACTTGAGTATACAATGGTTGAGCTTGTGGTTGATAATTTTGTTGATTAGTTTCATAATTTTGTTGATTAGTTTGATAATTTTGTTGGTTATTTTGATATTGTGCAACATTTTGATATTGTTGAGTATTAGGTTGTTGATAAAAATGTTTATCATAAAAATTATTAAGCATATTTTGTAAATTAACATTATTTAACCCAGCATAAGGATGATTAGCCGGCAAATTAGGATAAATAGCACCTCCCAATTGATTCGTATAAACTTTAAGCAAAATTATTGGTGCGTTATGACCTTGATTTGGAACATTTTGCGTAAACCCACCAACTTGACCGTGCGGATTTAAAGTGGCAAATAAAGTCGTTGGTTCATAATTTTGATTATGTTTAGGATATTCGATGTGTTGAGTTGACCCCAAATCGAATCGAATCGATTTTTGCACCAACAAATTTCCGTTTTGTTGCGAATTTTGGTTAATATTGTTATAATTTTGTTGAGTTGGTTCAGGTTGTCCTTGATAAGGTGGAATATCTTGTTGGGAATATTTATAAAAAACTAATTTTGGTTTATCGGTTACCCCATAAGAATTCGGCGAAGGAACTCCATACCCCAAAGCAGATTGAATCGTGCGTTTCGAAGTTTTTGATTTCGTCGAGTTATCGTTTGGATCAATTATTTCAATCGCTATAATCGCTGGAGGTTGATGTGGAACTTTTTTGGAGAAGCGGGGTTTTAGCTTTAATTTTTTTGGTTGGTTTGTTTCTATTTGTGGTTCTTTTGATTTTTGTTGAGTTGGGTTGGATTGGACGGCTGCATCTTCTGTAGATTTTTTTACAGTTTTTGAGATGACTCCGCCAACACAAATTACAAAAACCTGAAAAGATACGATTATAAAATAAATAACATAAATAGTTTCACTACATTAAGTTAAAGTTACGGTTACCTAGAATTTGACCTTTTCCCATAACGGGTCGGTGAAAGTAAAACGAGATTCTACGATTCAGGATGCGATAAATAAAAAATCATAAACAGGAAGTTGAATTTGTTTCAGATTTATTTTAAATCCTAATTTAATTTGTTATTATTTACTAAAAAGTTTTAAAGAAAACTATTGGTGTTTCGAAAAACTTTTAGTGAAAGTAATCGCATCTATTGAATACAAAACAAGAAAAACATACATCTCCGGTTCCTTCCTGTTTTATCTCAAGAGACGTGGGAATTCAAGTCTTTCTTTTTTACAATCTAAATCGAGTTTGTCCTTTTGCTATTATCTGCATGTGCTGGTCGCTTTGAGACCAGGTGAGAGTTGACTAACGCAAAAAATTCCTAATAGAAAATCAACATTTCTTTTTTACCATCAAATTTCTACTTAATTAACTTTAAATTATCTTTTTTTTTTGAATAATGCTTAATCTTTCAATTAGATGTAACGCGGAAGGAGATAAAGTTTTGTTTATAACATCATCAGCAAGCACGTGATGTAACAATGCCTTAGGTTGTTGTCATTCGGGATGCAGCATGTAAGAAAGTTTAACACTGGGAAAGTCTTTGATGGAATTATGTCAACTTCTTCACAGCCACGACCATCATGGTTATGTAACACGATTATTTACGGTCATATAAGTTCAATTGGAGAGGTGTGCGTGTAAACAAATCGTTGTGTGTGTATGGGAACTTCTTCCTTTTATTTTGGCCTTCGAACGTGCACTAAAAATTGATGAGGAAAGCGCAGATGGTTGGCGAAGAATTTTTATTTTATAGAAAGTAAACTATCATTCTTTTAACGCTCTTTGACCGGTCAGAGAAAGCAAAAGAATTTTAATTAATTAATTAGCATTAAAATCTAGTTTATCATGTTATTCTCATTCATTAATTTATTTTTAAGAAATTCTTCACCATTAACTTTCATAATTTTTGCAATAAACGAATTATATTTCTATCCTCAAGGTAAGTTTACAATCATTTCTCAATCTCTTCTTACATCATGGACTTTGAGAACGTTTAATAGATCAAGTACATCATTATGAGAATTTATTTTTACATCCAATTGTGAAAGTGTATCTTACGACCTTTTCTTTGGCTTTGTGTTAAACAATGCTTCATTTACAAAAAAAATGATAAACATCTTTTCTAATTACTATTATTACGATAATAAATTTGTGTTAATTAAAAATAAAATTGAAATTAACTTATTAGAGATTTATTATGTGTTAAAATCGATGGAATTTAATGACTTACGAGAGTTGCTAATAACTTCATTCTCACAGTTCACCGCGATTACACTGTCTGGAGCGACTGCGTAAGCGTTTGTAAACTACCTTCTTATATAGGCTTGGTAAAGAGCTAAGAACATGGCATCTACTTTTCTCCAAAAAAGCAAGATACTCATCATTATCGCTACAAGTTTCACTTTACAACGTTTCTTGTAGCTGCGTATTCCATAGATCAACTATTTTTCTATTCTCATCTCAAGAAGTTACCGACTTATTTATAGCACAAGGAAAAGCACATTTCCAAAAGACTTTGTTTATGTAAATTTTTATTACGAATCTTAATTTTAAATTATCGAGTTGATTGTTTTGGGCAAAGTGTTATAATTTAAATAATGTCGTTGAATCATCTCCAATGATAAATAGGTATAATTTTTATATCAACATAAAATTACGTAAGCACAATTATTTACTTGTTAAAAAAGAATTAAGAATTAAATTCGATTTTCCACTAACAACGTTTAAAATTTACGATGGTGATTTACGATAATTAAACTTAATTTTTATTGTCAATAAGGTAATGTATCATAGAAAGTTATTTAGGAGTTATTTTCTTTGGAAAAAACCGTCTAGACAACTCTATGTAAAGTATTTACTCAAAACTGGGTCTACATCAAAACTGTATCTCCAAAACTAAACTTTATTAAATCTACATTCAGTTTTTGAAGTCTGCATCAAATCTCCATTATGCTTTTGGGAAGATTACTTCACGAAGTATCCTTAATCTCTAAATAAAATCTTTAGTATGTTTCTGTCAAGGCAACTCTCCATCAAGTGTGCATTAAGATTGCACATATATCCAAAATTACATCTACAAGATGGCACAAAAGTTATGCCATCCTGTTGGAACCACATGTTCTAGTCAGAATTCATCCAAATTGAGGAAGGAGAAAGTCTGGTTGATAATAATAATAAAAATAATAATAGTTTATTGCCAAAACAATATACAGGTGTCCCGCAACGATTGCACAATACTGCATCAGCGTATTCTCTGATCGAAAATAAACAAAAAAGTCTAATAAACATAGGTCAGATGTTGATGTAGTATTCTTAAGCATTCGGATGATGTGGATAGCACTACTTAGCTTCGGCGTGACATTCTGGATATGGTTTTCAAAGGTAAGTTTCTGGTCCAGTAGAATACTAAGGAATTTTATACATCTGTTGCTACCTTCCATCTTGGTCATGAACTTTAATATTTCTGTTTTGTCTTCGTTTAGTTTTAAACTGTTGCTGTTGAACCACAATTTAGCGCTCTTCATAGTTTCGTCTGTCTTTTGGATTAGTTGTGTCTCTTCCTCACAATAATTAAGAAATGATGTATCATTGGCGTACTGAAGTATGACAGGGGCGTTTACGTTTATTGGCAAATCGTGGCACACCTATATTCATTACATATTTTCTGTACAACTTTGTTGTTTCCATTCTACAAATTATTTCCTGTTTGTCAGGAAATTAGTTTATTACTGACACCTCTAATTCCATAAAAATGCATTTTTCTAAGTAATATTTTGTGATGCATGGTGTCGAATGCCTTGCTTAAATCACAGAAAATAGCTTCCACCTTTCTGTTTTTATCAATAACTTCGAATATGCATTCAATCATATGTGCCATAGCTGTTAGTGTGGATTTCCCCTTTCTGTAACCGTGATGGCTACCATTTCAGATGTTTTTACATTCAAAATAACTATTTAGACGATTTTTGACATAGCTGATAGAATTAATATTGATCTGTAATTTTCTAAATAGTGCCGTCCTTTGCCTTTACAAACCGGCGTGATTCTTGCTTTTTTAAGAAGGTCTGGGAATATTCCTTCCGCAAAAGAATTGTTGATCATAATATATATCACGTCAGCAATGTATGATGAGTTTTTGCAGTTTTACGGAGAAGCCAAAAGCATCTGGTGTCGTTTTGCCTTTTAGATTGTAGACAATTTGTAGTACTTCCTCGTTAGTGGTTGGAAAAAGAAAAAATGACAGTTGAAGATTCATTGGCATGTTTTGCACCAGCGATGTTGATCTGATATGCGATCTGATATGCTGATTTCTCTTGTTATGTGAGATCTTTTAGTTTCGTCTATTTTCTTTAAATATTGGGTTCTGAAGTTTCTGTATACTTGTTTACTTTGCTCATCTTTTTTCACCTACTTGATTACTTCGTTTACCTGCCTGATTAATTCGGGGTTCTCTAAGCCGCGATATTATCAACAGAAAGGCTGCTCCGGAGCCGACCAGACACCCATACTCTTCAAGACGAACGGCTAAACGCCATGTCTTGTTGACAAATTTCAAAGCAGAATTGACATTTGCTGCTATTTGCAAAAATTATAGCATCTTGCGATAGGGTGATGATTTTTGCGCGTGTTTTAATCATGCTGGCAACTACACTCCATTTACTGTCAGTATCGAGTATCAACCTTATTGTATTTATCTTTGCAGACATCTCGCTATCTTGCCCGCCATACTCACTTCTTACATCGAGAAAATGGGAAATGGCGTAGTGCAACCATAATTGAGATTTGAATCACTTCGTATCCTGTTGCCGATAGCTTAACGCGAAAACCATTTACTTTTCTTCTCGTTGAAGAAGCATCTTGGTTTTTCCCGCTACTACATTTAGCCTGATCACATTCAATTTGCTATTATTTCAATGGCATATATCGTTTTTGGTTCTAATTGTGCACCATCTTGATACATGACCACATTGACCAGGTGATCCACATATGCAACGAGGTCTACCCCTTTCTCTGTTTTACTTTGAAGCACATGATAATAGAAGAGGTTACATTAGATACATAGTAATCCATGTCGTTTGGATGACAGGTGTTGAATGAAAGAAAATCTGTTCATGTGTACAATGTGCCCCCCTTTTCACCAAAAAAAGTTTACTTGAATCTTTTTTCGATTCGAGTTTTTGTTTTCGAGATATAAGCATATGTCGTTTTAAATGAAACACCCTGTATATTTACTTTAATTATCAATACTGAGGACAAATTACAAAATAAATAATAAAATAAAATTTTACCAAACGAGACATACTAAACAAAATAGAACATAAGCAATTAGTACAATTATTACATGAAATTACTCACAAAGGGTTACAAATCTCATCGTTGTAATGGGCTTCTTTCGACCAATTACTTCTCCCATTTGAATTCGACTTTCCTTGACTGAACCTTCCCACTTGAATCCACGCTAGGAACTCGTACTTCAACTCATACTCGACTCAATCCTCTTCTCGAATTCTTCTTTGTTTCTCTCATCAACTGGCTTTCTTCCAATTGATCCAGGACTGACCCTCCAGTTTATCTCACCAAAACTCCATAACTAAGAACTTCTCTCTGCACTCTGTCTCGGACTCATAGACCGACTGACTCTGACTTCCAAGGAACTCCTTTCATTAACTCTTCCAAGGAATTGCCTCCAAGGAATTCTTTCAAAGAACTCTTCCCAAGGAACTCCTTTGACTAACTCTTCCAAGGAACTGCCTCCAAGGAACTTTTTCCAAGGAACTAAAGTTCTTCATCTTAAAACAAATCAATCTCAAAGCAAACCAACCCAATACCAAAGCAACCCAACTCTTTGCCAATTCCAAAGCAAGCCAATACAACTTAAAAGCATGGCAACCCAACTCATTTCTTTCTATTTCTTATCTGCACATTAATATTATTTACCTCACATATTATGCATCTTATGGTTCTACTAGTTTCTCCATCCCAAAATAGCGTTCTGCTCGCTTAATATTCTCCTTAATATTTCATTCCACTCGTTTCTGATCTGGTAATGTATGGTAATATATGGTTTTTATTATGGGTAGGTTGCTAACTTCGTCCACAAGCCATCCTCTTCAATTCAGTCTTTTGACCAGCAACAGCATCGTCAAGCTACTTAATTTTTTGACAAATATAAAATGTGCAAAAATATTTGAAGCAACTCACATAGTTTGCATATACCCAGCAGTAGACTAAAGAAAAAATATAAAGTATAGAGTGTACATAAGCTATGTGTGAGTGTTGGAATAATACATGATGGCTAAATTAATTAAACTTGACAATTTAATTATTTCAGAACTTAATTTATTTAACACTATTTAATGTACCAACCTAATACACACTCCATTTAAATCTTCATTTCTATGAGTTTTAAATTGGTATATAAGCGCCATCTCTTATTTGTACGCTTTACCAATGTAATAAACTTGAATTCCTTTGCAGAAATCTTCTGTAAAGACGGCGAAAGTTTTAGATTTATTCGCATAACTGCGCAATAATTTATTATTCAATATACAAATAATCAATTCTTAATATATGTTCTCTTAAAAAACTAAAATGTTATAATAATTTTTTAATAAAAACTGTTTAGAATACAAAGTTCTTAATGGATCATATAATGTTCAAATTATGTAATTCTAAGAAAAGTCGATAATATCGGAAATCTTCGGGGATGCAATTCAGGTTGCTTCAACAAAGTATACAGAGTCTACAGATATTTTATACATAATGAAAAACTTGAATTTTATTCTGATTACATGATTTTCATCTAAAAATCCTTGTTTATAGATATACCTAGTTATACAAAGAATTTAGTTCGTGGTCGTGATCCCTAGATGGCAGGGTCATTTATGTATTAACCATCTGCTAACTAACCCTCTGTTAATTAACCGTCTGTTAATTAATCGTTACCTAATTAATACCCAAATTACATCAACTTTTTTAGATTTTAAAATATAACTTTATTTCATCTTCATTATAAACTCAATATATTTTAACATAATACTTTTATAATACTCACATAACTCTTAATCTAACCTACTACATTATATACATAAATTTAAAATCCTTTAAGTAAAAGCTAAATTAAAACACAAAGAAAATCTTTTTCCTTAAAAGTAACAAAACAACTTGATATAAATAATCACTGGCTTAGAAATATATAAGAAATTATAAATCGTACTCATTTTTATTTATGATTACTTTTAACTGATGTATAACTCTTAAACGTCGTAGGTAACTGTGGTGGATAAGCCAATTCTGAGGAATCACTTGGTATGGTATAAATTTGTTGCGGGGAATTATAACGTTTTTGATTCAATTTTCCCGAAGATTTCTTCACCAAACTATTCAAACCTTGTTGTTCTTGTTGTTTATAATATTGATATTGAAGCACCGATGGAACATAGGAATCCAAAAGACTTTGTGGTTCCCCTTTCGGAGTGTATTGAGTTTTTTCAACCGGCACATAACTAATTTGTTGTTGAAGTTGAGGTTGTTGTGGCGTTTCAGAAAATTGAGGTTGATTCTCATATTGCGAGTTGGAATTTTGCGCTTGATATTCAGCTTCTTGAGTAAAAATTTGAGGCCCAACATTATTATATTGTGAATCTTGTTTGACATACGGTACAGGGACGTACATGAAGTATTTTACTTGTCCTTTTGAATCAACCACCATTTGAATGTTATTCGACGAAGATGGTTGGAGATAAACATATTGAGGGGTGTTAATTTGATTGTCAATGATATAAGGGGTTTGTTCATATGGGTATTGATTAATTATTTGTGGTTGGGGTTGGGGTTGAGGTTGAATTTGGGGTTGTTGTTGATAATAATATTGGGGAGGGGAATATTGGATTTGTTCTTGTTGATTTTCTTGTTGATTCTCTTGATGAATTTCTTGTTGGATTCTCGTCGATTGAAATTGCAATTTTGCTTTGTCATTTATCGGTGTAAATCCAAAATTATTCGGTTGCGATGATCTAAACGAAGGTGGGTTATAAGGTTGGGAATATTTTGGCGAAAATTTTAACGTGCCTTTTTGTTCTTTGTTTTCTCTTTCACTCGCCAAGTTATCGCGTTCGATATCTTCAAGCTTCAATTGCTTTTCAGCAATAACAACCGTGAAGAAACAACAAAGAAGTATTAAAGATTTCTGAAAGCAAAAGAAAATTTCTTTTTTATGATACACTTAAAAAATTGTTACATTTTTTTCTTATAAACTATGGTTAATTTCAACATCCAGAATGCTTCCAGCTCACTTTCACTCTTCGTTGATCTCTTATCCAAGTGTGTTGGGCGACCAACGCCTACTTTGGGTTTAAAAGCGAGCTACTTTCACTTGGACGAATTCTTTTTTGTCGCATCAGGAGCGGTGATAATAAATTATCAAAAGATATGAGGAAGCAGTGGGTATTTTGCAAAACCAGGAAATGATGGCGCGTAAAGTACCCGCATATAATTCGATTTATTATTAAATTTATTACCGTTATGAACAGTTTATGAACAACATTTTATTAAATATTTATATTATTGTAATTTAAACTTTAATAAAACATTATAAGCTCAATTAAGTTTCCAATAAGAAGCGTTTCAGTTGATGGAATAAATTAATTGAATAAAATTACTAGATTTTAGAAAAAAAGATGATTCCAAATTGCAATAATAATTGAATGTGATGTTAAAAACTATTAATAAAAAAAATCTTTTTGCTTACCATGTTAAAAGATGAGTCGTGTGTAGTCCCAGTACTGTTCTGGACGAAGAACGGATACAGTTTAATAAGCGGATGACCAGGAAGCATGCATTTGTACCAAGACCGTCTCGGTCAGGTGAGCGGCCACCCTACCAATGGTACATTAAAAAAGATTCTTCCACCACACCATCGGTGACGTTCCACACAACACTAAACGATTTCTTATCAAATACGATCTTTTATTCCCAATAAAATTTTATTTACACATTTTTCTTAAAACATTACATTAAATTTGTTGTATTAAGTAATTAAAAGTGCTTTTACTTTAATTTCGCGCTTAATTTCACATTAAAAAATAATTGAATCAAAGAAATTTTTGTGGTTATCTCCTTTAATTCCAATTAACTCTTAAAGGCGGTTTTAGATGTATCTTCAAAGGAAAGTAACGTCCTTCTTCAAGGTCTTTTCTTTTGGAAAAGCAATCGATTCTTCGCCCGTTCTAAATCATCACAAAGTTAACATTGTGATGATTTCTGCAATAGAGTTAATTAAAAAATTAAAAAGATATCGATTTTCTGTGTTTAAGGAAATGTGAAAATGGGAAATTGTACCTTTATCGTTATAAATATGAATGCTGGTAGTGTTTTCTCTTTTTGTTCCTTATTTTCTAATAAGGAATAACATAATGTATTTGGATCTTTTTGAAAATGTTTAAAATAATAATTTATTTTCTGTGGGAGAGTTATTAACATTCTATTCTAAATAAACCATCCTCTATTTGAAAGGATGTTTCGGTTTTTATTACGGCGCACTTCACCTTTTTCAACTATGAATTTTAACAGCGATTCGAACGTATAAGAAAATTTGTAGTCGTCCTTTCACCTGTCAATCTTTTAAACTATCTGGCAAAGAAAGTAAATCCACCAAAAACAAATAACTCTTTGATGTCATATATTTGAAATAAAAAAAAATAGAAGAAAGTGTATTAAGAAATGGTTAGAAAAACAACGTATTATTATATTATAAGTTATGTTTGTTTATTTGGATTCACACGTAATCATCAACTTTGGAGGATTGTAGCGCCTCGGCCGTAAGCAACCTTGGTGGAGTGAGAACAAATGTCTTCTTATAAGAGTGTTGAATACTTTGCGATTATATTAATATATACAGGATGGTTCAGTTTTTAATCGAGAAACTTTACTAGGACGTAGTACTTGCCAAAATAACACAAGTGTTTTATATAAACATAGGGTCGCAACTCTTTTGTTTTCGAGCTATGAAGTGTCAAAGTTGAGCCAAAAATTCACATTTTATCTTTTATTTCGGGTATAACTAAAGCAAAGGTTTTGAAATTTTGTATGTATGTACTGAAAAGAGTTGCGACAATATGTTTATAGTAGAAACCACGAGAGCTGGCAGTGAGTTGACGTTTAAAAATGGTATGAATCAATACGGACGTACGACTTAGATTATTTCACCACATACTTTTAAATGTATGTTAGGTTAGTAATGGAGGTTATATGTCAAACATTGTCAAATTTAGGAGAGGTTAAGCAGCGAAAAATCGTTAATATTAATTTATAATAAAATTTATGTAATTATTAATTTATTTAACAAATACTTTAATAGGTTATTTACAGGTCGCAAGGGATTAAGTAAGTTTTATTTAAACAGTGGTTCATAATTTATTCATTAATTATTAATTTATTTCATTTTCGGCATGTGAAAACATGACAGACAGATTCATGACAACGCTCACAAGACGTTTCGATTTGAGGTTACAATAGACATATTAAACTAATGCTATCTCTTTCTAACACACATTACTCTTTAGCGGTTTGTGAATTTTAATTTACTACGTATGGCATTTGTAAGAGCGGAAAATGATGATTTACTGCCAGCTCTCGTGGCGTCACTATATATAAAAAAATTGTGTTATTTTGGCCAGTACTACATTCTAGTAAAGTTCCTCGATTAAAAACTGAACCTCCCTGTATACAGGGTGAGAACTACTAAACCGTTTGAAATACAAAAAAATATTTTATACTAAAGTTGTTTGAATCACCACTTTCTATTACGTAAAATTAGTTTTACTTATACAGTATGTTCCATTTAAGCGTAACGGAGAGTACGTAAATTTGTTTAAATGGAACACACTGTATATTTTATCATATTATGAATAGAATTAAATTTGTTTATACAACAGTATATGTTACTATTTCATAACATTCATAGTTCCTGAGATATTCAATTATTCTTCCAAAATGTGCCCATTACAGGATCTTTTTAAAAACAATGTAAAAACGATCCAATTTTGTCTTGAAACTATGTCAGATAATAGTTAAAGCCAGTAGGTAGATGATAGTATTCAAAGATATTAGATACGCTATACAGCGTGTTCATAAAGCTTAGTTACTTTTGATGTTTTTCAAATGGCTTATATTTAAGTTTTTTAAATGGAACATCCTGTATATTGTATGCAAGTTAAATTCCTCATAAAGTTCCCTTTAATTAATGATAAGTATGGCATATGTCTAACTTTAATAGTTTTCCTGATATTTAGAATTTAAAGAAAAATGTGTAATAAAATTTCATTATTGTACTTAAAAAGGTGACATAATGTAATATATTCTGTCCTTTTTTGTCACTTTTTTTTTGTTTGTCTGTCATTTGAAAATAAGTAATATTATATTAAAATACAATTAAAAAAAAACTTTAATAAATAAATAATCAAAACGTGATAAAAATACAAAAAATACAATTAAATGGCAGAACAATAAAATAATAATAAAACTATTTATAAATTATTACTAAACGTTGCTCAACAAGTAGGTATTAATTTAATTAATATTTAGAAGTTGTTCAAAACGCCGCCCATTTTCTATTCTACAAGCATTAATGCGCTGTAATGGACTTTGAGGTATCTCTTAACATATGCATCTTATTTTCTCTAAAGTCATAATTTATATGGCAGAACAATTGCATTTTTAAATCTCATAAAGTACCAAGTCGCATTAAAATTTGGTATATGGCAGCAAAATTATTTTACATTATAAAATATTAATCAAATAATAAAAGGAAGAACAAAAAAAACTGATAAAAACAGACAGAATATAATATTAAGTACAATAACGAATATTAATTATAAATATCAGAAAAACTTAAAGTTAGATATATGACATACTTATCATTAATTAAATGTAACTTGATGGGCAATTCAACCAGCACACAATATACAGGATGTTCCATTTAAAAAACTTATGAAAAAGCCATTTGAAAAACATCAAAAGTAACTAAGCTTTATAAATACGCTGTATAGCGTATCTAATATTTTTGGATACTATCATTTACCTACTAGCTTTGACCATTATCTGACATTGATTGTAAATATCTTCTTGTAAGAAACATTGTATCTTTACCATAAGATATAAAGAACGTTTCGTGTTGATACAGCAAATGTAGCGCCTCGCCCGCCAGCGACCTCGGCGAAGTGACATTAAATGTCTTCTTATAAGATTGTTGAATACTTTGCGTTTTTATTAATAAATATATCAGGAACGATATCGTTTCAAATCGCCGAGGTCGCTTGCGGGCGAGGCACTACTTTTGCTGTATTAACATGAAATCGTCTTCTTTAGAAGTTTCTAGCCCCTCGGCCGCAAGCGACCTCGGCGATTTAATTGTAAATATCTTCTTGTAACTTTATATCTTTACCAAGAGATATAACGAACGATTTCGACTCAAATCTCATATAATAAATTACCATCATGTATTTTGGATGATAAAAACGGTTTTCTATTTATTTAACAGTTTTAAGTAATGGTAAAGGCGTGTTACTTTGAGCTTAAATTCTTACTCAAACCCGGCATTTCGTGACTACAAAACATAAAAAAGACAACTATTTGAATCTGTTGTTTAACCGAGATTAAACTATTACCATTATAGGATACAGATTTTCTCTTNTAGTTTTCCTGATATTTAGAATTTAAAGAAAAATGTGTAATAAAATTTCATTATTGTACTTAAAAAGGTGACATAATGTAATATATTCTGTCCTTTTTTTTTGTTTATCTGTCATTTAAAAATAAGTAATATTACATTAAAATACAATTTAATAAAAACTTCAAATAGCAGTAGCAACGATATACTCATTGCTACTGCTATTTTTATCATATCAACAAATTTGAAGTAGTTAAACTTTAAAGTAGTTATTAGTTATTAGAGTATTTTTCTCGAAAATTTTCTTATGTAACTAATATTAATATTAACTGTACTAGATTCAAAAAAATTAAATCTTTGGACCCGTTTCAGGGATTTTTCCATAAACCGTTTATAATGATTTTATCGCCTATATCCGTTACTTTACGGACACACTGTATATAAGGAACGATATCGCTTCAAATCGCCGAGGTCGCTTGCGGGCGAGGCGCTACTTTTGATGTATGAAATCGTCTTCTTTAGAAGTTTCTAGCGCTTCGGCCGCAAGCGACCTCGGAAATTTAATTGTAAATATCTTCTTGTAACTTTATATCTTTACCAAGAGATATAAGGAACGATTTCGTCTCAAATCTCATATAATAAATTACAGTTTTAAGTAATGGTAAAGGCGTGTTACTTTGAGCTTAAATTCTTACTCAAACCCGGCATTTCGTGACTACAAAACATAAAAAAGACAACTATTTGAATCTGTTGTTTAACCGAGATTAAACTATTACCATTATAGGATACAGATTTTCTCTTTCACTTCGTACAATTTTACAGTTGCGTTATTCGCATTCTTTCTTTTTCTTTGCAACGAAATAATTAGGGGGAAGACCATTGGCCTCGCCCATATTTATGTAATATATTTTTTTAAGACCAGATTTCTTTATTATTGTTATTATTATCGTTAATTTAGTCATCGGAGTGACTATACATGGATAATAACGCGGTGAAAGTATATTATTCTAAATACTGTCTCTTTTTTTCTAATCGCGATGTATTCTTTTTTGATGACGGAATAAACCTTTTTGGCTTCGAAGTGATATTATTTATGCTCGAATCCATCTCCACTTGGTTGTGTTGATGCGCACCCAATTCTTGAGTTAATGCGAATTCCCCCCAACTCTGTCGTCGTTTTTCTTTAAGGACCTTTTTGGGATAAATGATTTGGTCCCTTTCAGCTTGGAATGACTTTGGAGCGAAGTACATACACAAGAATAATACGAAATTG